ATAATTATCTCGACGTTTCAACGGTGAAGGAAAAGATCGTGATGCCTGCACATATCGGCGAAGAAATTCAAAGATATGTGTGAAGTCAACCATCCCGCAGTGGACCAGCGTGGTTATCTATGGTCACCCCTTACTTAGACTTGGCTCCGAACCGTCAGTAGGGACATATGGTGAGCTGATGATGATGATGATAATTTGTATTCCATCATTGCATCGAGAGAATCAGTGGTAGAGCTCGCTTTAACATCTTTGCAGGAATGGGCCTGCTCGTCCGGTGTACTACGACCACACAGAAGACAGGCGTGAAGTGGAAGTAATTCCGCGTTTCGTCTGATGAGTGTGGTGCCGAAGGCCTAATTTTGATCCCTTTCACTTCCCACCCTTTTCTTAAGAGGAAAGGATGGGAAGGAAAAGTGGATTTGACGGTGGAGAAGACATATTTTTGTGGGTCTCCTGCTCCGTCAATTAAGGGTGGGCAACGCGTCTGCAATTGCGGATGTTTATGGGCAGCGGTCGCTTTCCATTTCGGTGGATTCAGGTGGCCGCCAGTTTGCCACCTTATATAATAAAAAGAATCCTAGGATATTTTTTTATCGTTGTTTACAAAGAATGAAGTAATAGCTAAACAATAGTTACATTATTCATTTATCTTTAAGATTTTTATTGACTCGATGTGACCTTGTTAAACCTGTCTTTAAAAATGCGTTGATTTTAAAGGGACATTTTATAATTCATTTTAAAAAAGGGTTTTCGTGTTCTTTAAGTGTAATTGTTGTATACATAAAAATATATAACAAGTTATTGAAACAGATAAAGCCGCCTAATGATCTTGTATCAAAATAAGGAATGCAACATACCAATTGATTTTTTTCTTTTAAATTTTGGCTCAGATATACAGACATTCGCTTTTACGATGTACTTAGTGTGTATTTTATTGTTCAATGTTAAGCATTTTAAGAGAATAAGGTAAATGACCAGTCTTTTTACCTGAGGTCAGTGACCTTTACTACCCATTGTATTACAAAGTACGTTACGCTCTTTTTATGATAATCTTTCTTGTTATCGAAGAAAAATTTCTAAACACGTCGATTTTGTACTTTACGATCGAGGACAAACTTCATTAGAAATTTAGTTTCTTAGTCTTGTCCATGTTTTAGTTTTTTAAACACTTTATACTTAGGGCCTGTCCCACCAAATTGTAAATTGTCTGATAACATTCGAATTTGTAAAATATCTAAGAGAAATATCGGATTTTGTTCCCTTATCTGACAGTGATGTCATTTTTAAGTTATCTAAGCCTTTATCAGCCAGTGGTGGGACAGGCCCTAAGTCTTATATTTAAAGGTTCGCCTCCATTAACATCAATTCATCGCACTAAGTGAACGTTATACCTTCAAATAATTAAATTAACCTGACGTTCCTCGCTCGTCAATTCTCAGGCTACTTCGAACTCCTTTGACCCGTGCCAAAGTTTTAATGCTATTCTGTACCAGTAATATTAATTTGATGGGTATTATCAAACCAGTGTTAATAGTTATAATAGAATTAACAGTTATACACGAGGGTTTTATCTAATGAAAGTGACACTTTCACTGTCAAAAATTAAAGTAGAGTAAAGATGGGTTTTCACTGCGATCACGATCTTTCAGTTGACTTGAAAAAAAACACAATCAATACAGGTCTTACAATAGTAGAAACCTAAGGTTACAATTAAACAATATACGTATACATACCTGTGAAAAAGCTCACCTATCAGTCGAACTCCGATTTGCTTCTAATTTAAAGTAATAAGGTCAATGTATACAGTTTATTTTGAATTCGCCTCGTCTCCATTTCATTAAACATCCCTAAGGGATGTGATAGATGGATTGATAAGCCTTTATTCTCTGACATTTTTTACATAGGTTTTAACACTAATATATGATATAAATAGGTAAAAGAAAGCAAAAGTATTTAGTTATTTTTAACCTCCAGTTGCTCAGTCTGGTTATCCTTCGACATAGGCCCTAGATTCTTCTACAAGTCTTTGTCCCTAGCTAATCTTCTCCATCCCTTCAGTAAGTCATCTTCCCATCTTTATATTGGAAATGAAATGGGAAAAGATGCGACATTTCAACAACATTATAATACTGACTCCAAAAATCAAACATAAAAATGGGACCCACCTGCAAGCACTACCTTTCGGATAAAAAATAATTTTCAAAATCGGTCCACTTGTTCCAGAGATTTCGCGTAACACGCATAAAAATACACAGACAAATTGAGTACCTCCTTCTTTTGGGAAGTCGGTCATAAATAGACAATTTGTATTACAAATTAAATTAATAAAATTTGTGATTGTTTACCATTTTGACCTGAGCTTGAACTCGATTCAAGTTGTTTACGAAACGAGTTATTGCTTTATATCTGTCTGACAATTATTTGTTAGGTTTTGTTCCTGATACTGTTATTAATAGCAAATATTGTTTTCTATTTCCACAACTGTAGAATAAACAAAGATATCATATTAATAAAACAAAAGAGAATATAATAATATTAATAAACGTTGTAAATAGTCATTTCTCTAAATATGAAAGAAATTGACTTTTATCGATAAAACGATAAGGTAAAAACTATCAAACTGAAGAATGTAATTACATCGTTACTATAAACCTACAATCTATACTATGATAAAGAGGAAAGATTGGTATTTTTATGTATTGAATTAGTATAATTTAAAATTGGAATGTATTGAAATAACTCAAAGACTACTAAGATCCGATTTCAAAAATTATTTCCCCATTAGAAAGCTACGTTATCAGCGAATAACACAGGCTATGTTTTGTTATTGTTTAATTCTCTTGTTCAATAATAAATTGTAAATACATTGCTAACATAGAATTACAAGTAAAAAATATAGAAAGAAAGAAACAGATTTTAATATTTACTTTAAAAGACACAAAGTAATATACATAAAATTATTAACAAATGCCGAATTATTACTGAAGATTCTAGAATGCTACAGGAAAATATTAACACAATTCTTAATCATTAAAGATGATTCGTATTTACTTTAAGATAAAAGGACATTAAACTCACTTTAATGTTAGAAGCAAATAGAAAGTTCTCTGATATTGACTTTATATAATCTAATCACATTTTAAGAATTCCATATACAATGTTAATATAAGAAATATTGGTCTTGTATAATTTTTTAAGGGCGTCGGTGGCTCAGTGGTTTGAACACTTGACTTGTAATCTACAGGTCTTGGGTTCGAATCCCGCCATGTACCAATGTGATTTTCGATTTTTCGAATTTTCATATGTACATAATTTACCCGACGTTCTTACGGTGAAGGAGAACATCGTGATGCAACCTGCACATATCGGCGAAGAAATTCAAAGATATGTGTGAAGTCAACCAACCCGCAGAGGGCCAGCATGGTTGACTATGGCCTAGTCACTCTAACTTAGGGTAGGCTCCGAGCCCCTCGGTGGGGACGTATAGTGAGCTGGTGATGATGATAAGAAATATTGGTCTTGTATAATTTTTATTTCAAAACGAGTTGTCGTCCGCAAACTTCGTTAGCGAAAATTTAGACCACCCGTTACGCCATTTTGAGAATTAAAAAAAAAGTAGCATATATACCTGTCTATGTCAGCTACTCTCCAGTGAGAGTCCCGTCGAAATTGGCCCTGTCGTTGGAGATTACCTGAAACAAACGCGACCTGCGGACAGACAGACAGAGAGACAGACATTTTTTTTAAATTCGATTTTCTTTATAAGCAACGTAAATACATCATCTTCCTGAAATCTGGAGTTTTTCTATTGATATTACAGACACTCTAATTTTATTAGGTATATGTATAGATACACATAGATAAATATAGAAGATTGCTTGTTAACATTTTGTACTTCAAAATTTTAAATGGCTTGTCTATAAAGGTATGACAGTTAGAAATATTGTTGTAATACAAGTGCCACAGCAATGGAAACTCACCGTTCAACTTAAACACTGAAGAATGGCATATTATTTTCCTTATAGCTTTAATTTGTCTCCTAAAATAAATATAAATTCATGGACAGGTTTTGCGCACTAAAATGATAGATACCAACATAAGAACATGTTTTTAAAACCTTGTTAAAACCAGATTTAATATGATTTATGTTTGTAACTAACATAAGTTAATTGAAGTATTCAGAGTTTTTTTACTCGATGTCTACGACCTTTTAGATCACCGATTGCTCAAGGATTTATTTGATCGAGGAAAACATCGTTGCGTTTTACTGTTGGTAATTTTAATTGTTCTTAACCGGTATAATAGAAGACTTTCGTATTAAATTAATCGTAGCTATAATAGTCGTATGGCACTAATGGACTGTATAAATCACACTAAATGTCTAGAAATGTCCCTTATAGTAGATTTCTAATTCTACGTGTACATTAAGGGTTGTGTGACCATTTCGCTCCTCCTTCTCCGTTAGTGTTTTAGTGAAGTAACTTATTTAAAGTCTAGTTGAAATTAAAATTTCTAGTAATTATGACAGCAGACTTGTAGTTTTATCGGCCGTGGTCAGATTGGCGCCACCTATGAGGCTTCTCACGACCTTTACAAAATGAAGGTGCAATTTACATATTGACGTGAGCTTCCACGACCGAAACGCCTACGCAAAACGTATTAATTGTGTTTAATTTTTCGAACAGATTAAGAGGGATAGCAATATGTCTTTGGATGAGTGCAACAGTAGTGGATATATACTGCGTATTTACTAAATGTCACCTGCATCAACACTTTAACGCAATATGTATTTCTACGTTATTAAATTTAGCACGTGCTGAATACCATCAGCGAACGTGAGAATGTTTTAAATTTGTTTTTTTATTTCGTGGATTTTATGTTTTTAAATACAGTTGTATTGCCAGTCTTTCAAATCATGACTTTGAATTGACATTGAATGACTCTGTAATTGTTTTAATAAATTTGTAATAAATAAAACACGACATATGTCCTTATAAATATTGTATTAAACATTTGAAAAATAACAGTCTTATAAACAGTTCATATTAAAATATACATTTGTAATTTTAACAATAGTAACTTTAAAATCTTGAAACCTCATTTGTCCTTGCATATGCTTCCTTTCTCGTGGGGTCCGTCACTGCTTCTCGATTTCTTCGTTTTACCAAAATATAAATGACTCTGTAAAAAATGTATACTTATACATTCTTGGTAAATTCAACTTTCTTATTCTTGAAAAGAATTTATTTTAATCTGCCATATTATATTCTTATTGCAACAACTTTTAAAACCACTTTCACCGTTGACACCAAAAGGCATGGCTTATGCAAGATAATTTAAAACCTCATTTACTGCATATTTGCACATTTACCTCGTAACTAGTCCGAGTGCAACATGCAAGTAAAAGTGCATATGACGGTTACCTAATAAATTAGATACTACACGTATTGGTGTATCTTAGATCAAATTATGATATACTAGCTGTTGCTTGCGACTTCGTCCACGTGAAATTTAAATAGCCTATAATACTCGGCGATAACGTAGCTTTTTAATGGTAAAAGATTTTTTTTAAAATCGGCTCAGTAGTTTTGAGTTTTTCGAAGCAGACAAGAATATTTTTAAATATTAACCTAAGTATTAACTCATTCTATTCCAGTATTTTTGTTAAATGTATTCGTAAAAACTTTACAAATTTTGTTACATTATTTTATTTACCATTTACCTATTAACTAGAAAAATCCAAATATTATTTTGGAAATTTGGAGACTATGTTTCTAAAAAGTGGCGGCTTGCCGTGTAATGTAATACCAATACCACAATTCTAAGATACATTAGCCGCCACTGTATCCAAATTTCAATTCAAAATTTAAAAAAAAACTTTACATATCCTACTCGTAATTACTGTTAGTGTCAATAGAACTAAACCCAGTTTTCACTATAGATTATTTGGATCAATGGAACCAAGAGCCCTGTCCATCGCCATCTATGGTTGAGTAGCGGCACTTCATGCTACTTAAGTTCCGGGAAGGCTCTTGTACAACTTGAGAGATTTGATCCTAAGACTCCAGGTTTGGTAGTGGAATGTCCAAGCAAGTATTAACTAGCGCCTATACTTTGAGGTTTTAAGTTCCAATATTGAAATATAAAGTAGCAGAGCTATTTTTCAATTCATTTGTATGGTAATTTAAAGGTTACAATGTACGGAAAATGTTATTGGAAACTTAACTCAATATCGACTCAACACAATACACTTCCGACATCCAATTAGCAACGTAAAATTAATCAGCTTATATTTGATGCAATACGAGAGGAAATTTTCAAAGGTTATCGAGGCAATATGCTATTTTAAGTTGAATAAACCTATTTGATTAGACATTGTTTTTAATTGCGACTATGGAATCGTCATCATCATCCTCCGTATCCTACTCCCGTAGGGTCGGCGCAACAGGTTTTTGTCCTCCAAATAACTCTTTCATACGTTATCTCAGACATCACTCCCTTTTTGATCATGTCACCTTTCACGCAATCCATCCACCTCTTTCATCAATCAATAGAGGCAAATCGTTACCTTGCAGAATTGACGTAATACCCTAAATAATCATAACCTATTACCCTAAAGCTAACTACACAAGCTCTGTTTTATCTGAACAGTCCGATTGTTCAGATTAATCTAACAAAATTGGGAATTATTAAGGTCTCAGTTTTACCTACCCCCTTTAGACTCAACTGAATGATTGGACTGTTCAGATAATCGTGTGTTCAGATAAAAGTTCTTGGTGTTAAGTTTGAATGCTACGTTCGTTTTTCCATCGACACATACCTGTACTAAAACAGTTGAATCATTCTTTGGTAAACAGTTGACAGCAATTTAGTATTGCTATCTTAGAGGCATTGTGTTACAGATTACTTACGTGAACAAGGCCAGTGCAAACAAGGTAAGAGCTGCGTCAAATAAGTAAAACGCTCCTGGGAAACTCTCTATCGTGGATACGTAAATGTAACTTGAGGTAGGCATGTAGATAGACGGCGCGATGGCCTCCGTGACGCCCATTAATGAACTTAATTTGGCTGAAACAAAATTATTGTAAATTCAGAAGTAAAAAAAATAACATTGATTCCTCGGTATGCTTTAAGTACCATGTTTACTGCAAATAATAAAAAAGCAGAGTCATTAAATATTAATTTTTATAGTCATAAAACTAAGCGGACTGATCTAATCTGTAATGCCGCTAAGGGCCATCCCTAGCATTATTATGAAAATTTTCACTAAGCTTAAATTGTCATTATACTCTGAATATTGAAACACATAGCAAAGATAAATTTATCAATCTGTTTCATGGTATTATTAAGTTCTAAGTAACTCTTAATTGAAAGTAACTTAGATTCTAGACGAAACATGTTCTAGTCGCTAAATAACTTGTTTTGGCCTTGGTTTACATTTCATATTGTACGAACAAGTATGTAGGTATGGCAGCGTTCGATTCGTAATGCTTTGCCGACATTTAAAATGTTTCGCATGTTTTAATGAAGCCGAGGCTTGGCTGATTAAAATAAGACGTCCGTATGCATTCGATATAAAAATAATAACACAAGGACGTTTACTGGCGGATAAAATGCTACCATTATGGCCTTTACCCAATTATATTCCATTGAAAACAATTTTTTTCGACACAATTACTTCAAACAATAAGTACTAAAAGTCGACGTGAGCTTTTAAATTGAGATTGGTGATTGACTATGGACCTTCAAACATATATCCTCTTTCACGTAACCCATACAATTTTATTTGATCTTCTTTTGTCTATGCAGCCACCTTTACTGACTTCGATTATTTCTTTTGTTTGTCTTTCATAGCTGCACTAATTTCTATACTATGCTGACATTTTGCTTCAATTCTCTAACATTAGCGCAACTTCCTTTAGTTTACTAAGATATTATTTTTAAGATTAAAAAGACTTACCAACTTCTTCAGTAGGCACACTTTTTGTTGCAATCGCTCTCACAGCTGTCAATCCAGTGTGACTGAATATGTTAAATATTGGTGCTGAGTAATACCATTGTCTGTTTGGAGCGAATGCGAACACGAAGCAAGATGCTATCCTGCTCACACCAGCCATAACTCCTATTATGCTGTCCTGCACATCCAGTCTTTTGCTTAAAAATGCTATACAGAAGAATGTACCTGAAAATGACATGTGATAGTTTATTTAACCGTCTGGTTCCACTGCTGGTATTTCAGTTTTGTCAAGTATGAGAGTCATCCCAGTGCCGGATTAGCCTATATCAAGAGTAGCAAATGCTACGGGCCTCGCGAATTTGGGGCCCCGCGCTTCAATACATGTCTGACAGTAAAAAAAATGTTTTATTTAATATCCTAAACTTGAGAATCTAAGGCATACTAAGGGCCCCTTGATAGACTTTGCCACAGGCCCCGCGCTGATTTAATCCGACACTGAGTCATCCAGGGAAATCTTTTGGGGAAGAGTACAAAATGACACATTATTCATCAAATTCGGTTTAACGGAATGTAACTACTTTCACACCATCGATATTTCATAGACTTATCTATCGATCGTTATTTAAATTCTTTTGTCCTACTAAAAACTTGTTTTGCTAATCAATAAAGTTAACAGGGTTTATTTTTGCAAAAAAAGAACCTAAACTAATTTAAATAGCTTTCTAATTGAAATATGAATATAAGTATAAATTACTACATCTTATTTTTCCTGTTTCAGGTTATCAAATTGTGCCTTTTTAAATTTAAACATAGACTAAGAAATGATTGCAAATGAACGAATACTAAGAAAGATAAAAAATACTGCGTAAATGTATAAACAAGACGCATACAGATAATTATAAATGACGATATAAATATGCTGCACTTTAAAAACAAACCAATGTTGTTTATATCCGAAGTCTAGATTCGATTGGTTTACGAAGATATGAAAAAGATATTTGTGCAAATGTTGAATAGTATAATAACAGACTGATCACATTGCCGAGGCCTATGCTGGGTGGACAAATGCGCATTGACCACAAGAAAGCGCACACATTTGACTAAACTATCGCACAACTGTTTAGTCTCTTTGCTTCCTATGAGCTTGTATGGTGCGCATACTACTTGATTTTTATTTGTGCAACTTAATAGTTGAATTGGCTGCGAAACAATCGATAATCGCACAACTATATGTTTTTAATCTCCTTTAAGGAACTCTTCTTGTCGCCAGTAGAGTGCTGTCAGTAGTTACATTTGATTGTAAATCATTTTATTAAATATAACTCTTGCAAAGACTTTGTATGCATCGAGATAAGAGAAGCCTTGACCTAGGTTAAAAACAAAATGTTCTATAGGCAGTTGTGCAGTTACTTGACGTTGATTGTGAGAGGTCAGATGTATAAGTAAACAATTTTTAGATAACACAGGTCGTCAGACTAAATGAGATGCATTGAATGATGCGTAGTAAAATTTCTGTGCGTAGTAATGCTTGATTGGATAGCATAAAAGCGGGTCTGAGTCTGTCCTATTATATACAGCAAGGGTGTTTTGGGGACGTCGATAATCATAAAAATTATACGAATAAATATGAAGTAGGTGCATGGATATGACGTAATTGCAGCCAAAATTATTTAATTACACGCCTAAGACTGCATTAAACATTTATAAAAATGGCACTATGCATAAATGTTGGCCACCCCCGGTATACACTATTAAGGACTAGTTCAAAATAGTGTTATCTCGATTGTTTTTAAAGGTCAGAGAGGGTTGACAATAGATTTTTGTACCAGTGTTTAGATACAATAGTTGCACAATTAAATATTTTTTATGTCTCTTGTTTTAGTAATCTCTTTATATTGATACTGTTCTTCTTTTTTATATCTCGAGATGTTTACGCGCTTTGTTTTTAAATGATAAATGTACTTATTGTTAAGTTAACGCACTAGAGTTTGCACCTGTAATTAAGATAACTGTTATCTTGTCTTTGTGTTGTTTTGTTGAATGAAATGTAATTTTAACAATTTATTGTATTTAGCAATGCACTTAGTACTGTTTAATTTTTTTATTGGCAACTATTTGTAAATACACAAAACACACCTTCAGTTTTAATTCGAATTGTGCAGTTAAAGGCGTGTAGTGGACTTCAAACCCGACTGTCTGTATCCTTATCACTATCAAGGAAAGAATATAATTCGAGTGTTATTCGACAAAATTATTTAAGTTTAGATTCTAGCGTGAACAAAGACATTTGCATACAAATCCACAAAAAACAAAAACATGTATAAGCGAAATGAAGAAGCAATATGAGTTTACATTTCTAAATTTCTTTTCCTTGAAATATATTTGGCTTTTTTGATTAGTCTTTTATGTTCAGGATGTTAAGTAAAATTAGACAAGTAAGACATTTGCAGACTCGGTTATGTTTTGTTTTCCTTATTTTGGATTCGTATTGGCACAACACAATATTTCGACATATTAATGCTGATTTCATGTTTCATTTTAATTACTATTATCAAAAGATTTTTTATTTTAATTTTCACAGTTGTTAATGTTTGATACGAAGATTTGATTTGATCAAGGAACTAGTTGTCGCCCGCGACTCAATCCGTTTGGAATTGAAAGAAACAAAAGTGAATAGCCTATATGTTCTTTCAGACATCTACATCTATGCCAAATTTCATCGTAGTCAATTCAGCGGTTTAGGCTACAAACTATAACAAACATTCATCCAATATTAGTAAGAAATAAGAATAATACTTACCTATTAAGCCAAGAACAGTGTTAACAGCACCATAAATACTAAACTCAACTTCATTGAAATTGAATTTTCGTATCGCGTATAAATAACTGACTTGAGAATCACCTGAGGACAAAAAAACAATACATGTGACGAATGAACAAGTTTCTTTGTTATCTTATTGAATATTATCCTTAGTATGTACGGTCATTAACTTCTCGCAGTGGCAACTGGAAGTGTTGCCAGCCATTTCATTAATCTTTACTAATATAAAGAGAAAAGATTTGTATTTTTGTATGCAACGAATAACCGCAAAAAGTACGAGTCATATTTAAAAAATATTTATCCTTTGGCAAAACTGTATCATTACTGAATTATATAGGTTATATTTATTACTAGTTTTTGTCCGCGACTTCGTCCGAGTAGAAAAATCAAAAGTAAGTATAGCCTAAGTGTTCTTCCAAACTATTCTCTACATCTATACCAAATTATATCGAGATCAGGAGTTTAGGTTACAAACTCTAAAAACATCCATCTAAACTTTTACAGTTATAATGTTAGTAAGATAAGATATGTCTATTTTTCTAAACTACGCTCCGAAAATTTTGTAAGCAACTGTTCTTTTGATACTAGTATTAAAGAGGAAATTGTATTTTAGTACGTATAGAAATAGCTCTAAAACTACTGAACTGATTTCAAAAATTCTTTCACCATTTAAAAGCTATGTTATCACTGAGTAACATAGGCTAAGTATTATATTTTTTATTATCTTTTAATTCCACGTGGCCGATGTCACGAGCAACAGAGAAAACATTTGTATTTTGGATTTTTGTATGTATTTGATTCACGTAAAAACTACTGGGCCGATTGCAAAAATTCTTTCACCATTAGAAAGGTAATTTTTCTGTATTATAGGCTATATTTTTTATTCCACACGGGTGAAGTCGCGAACAAGCTAGATACTTATAATCTTAGCGATGATAAGCGATCTCAAGATGTAGACGGCTACCTCAATATCAGTGAATACCGTACAAATATGCGTCCATAGTATACACGTAAACAGGTTTTCTTAAGTTTACCTTGTTACATTTCAGTAGAAAGCCATATTCGTATATATGGAGTGTGTGGAATTCGTTTGTTTTGATAAGATACCCTACAAGTAGACACAGCACCTTGGGGTTTATACTCCTGAGTAATTAATAAGTCAACACATTTAGACCACGCCTGACACTTATGTTAATAAAAACCAGTTTTTTGACAGACATTTAAGAAATATAGACTGGACATAGGGAACAAAATTACCGGTAACTTATTTCAAAGGTACTATGTTAATTGCCAAGTTTTGTGAGCCATCTCATGACAAGTGCGACATGTTATAAAACATTTTATAAAAGTAGCTTAATTTTGGTAATAAACAGTGTCACAAAATATAACATAATCATTGTTTTTATTTGCACTTATTGGTAATTAATTTAAAAACAATTAATTACATTGACATGCAGCTTTGAGGACCTATAAATATATAGCGTTAGTGCATCATGTGAATAATGTCTCAAGTGTCAACTATGCCTCCTCTATATATGTTTTGAATCTCTTTGTCTTTGAATTATATATTCCATTGGCTATTGAGAAAGATCTACTCGTCTTAACTCAATTCAAAATGATTTTATATTTAATATTCGATTCGGTAAGCTAATCACAACAATTCATATAATTAACACTCTCATTAAGTAGACAGAGCTGCGTAGTTACGTTAAATGCAACTATAGTGCGACTGATTTATTTGACCGGGAAGATAAAACGGAAACTAAAATACACAAAAACGTCAATACCAAAATGTACCACAAGATTCTTGTCTGAGTTTCTTATGTCTTTATGTTTTCTGATGGAAACAAAATAATCTATCACACCGGGCCAGATAGATTTGTCCGACTATAAGCAAAGTATGACACAGTTATGTCATTAGGCGCATAGTTATTCTGCATGCATAGCTAACCCAATGCGTTTCTCAAGGCCGCATGCGAAAGTAGTCACGCAGTAATTACGCAACCTTTTACATACGCATTTAACTGAAATAACACGTGAAGACGGTAATCTATCGTTCTAATATTATAAATGCGAAAGTTTAGATGGATGGATGTTTGTTAGAGTTTGTAACCTAAACAGCTGAACGGATCTTAATAAAGCATAGATGTAGAGGATAGTATATAAGAACACATAGGTTATTTACTATTGTTTTTTTTTTAATTAGGCGCGGATGGAGTCGCGGGCCAAAGCTAGTATTGCCATAATGTGAATAGCAGTTTAAAGCCCCTTAATTTACAGACCAATCAATTTTTATGATACCAATTAATTTCGGTGAAGATTTTGGCTTCCATTAATAGTTTAAAACGTAAAACATTAACTAATTAGTAAAATAATATACTATGTAAAGTAAGATAAGAATACATATATGTTGTTTGTTGTATTTATTAACAATTAGTAAGTATTATAACTTATTTGTTTTTCTATATTTAGATACAGGTCTTATCTTATATTTGACTTTTAAATCAGTTCCAAATTTAGTTCAATAGAAAACCTTTGAATAACATTAAAGTTTATTAACATAAGAAATGTATATTTATTAATTTCTACCTCCTAAGACTATCAGCACCGTTAAAATAACAGTTCTAATAAAATATCTGCCTTTTTCCATTATGTCGTCCTAATTTTATTACAATTAAAATAAATCTATTCAATATATACATTTTATTATCTAAAACATTGAATATTTAAACTAATAGAGCCAGGCATTTTTTTTATAACTGGCAGTTATGACTTAAAAATAAAAAAAAAAAGATTATAATTTGGTAAACTTACCATAGAGTGGTCCGACCATAAGTATATAAAGAAATATAACAGATATTATTTGCGTCCTCATTCCGAAAGCCCGAGGTCGAAGCATAACCAACACGGTATCCGCTACAAGCATAAATACTTCCTTGAACATTTTCTTAAACTTGTCTTTGTCATTTGTATCACTTGTAATTGCACATTTGTCATCTGGAGGTAATATGTCTTCGAGTCTGAACACGCCGTATAATAAAGAAAACAAATGAAGCACTAACAACAACGAAAACATGCCGTAATAACCCAACACTCTTAGTAAAATACCACTTAACGCAGTTCCCGTTGGTGTCCCTAAACTCACACAAATCGTAACAATACCTAACCGAAATGTCCTGTCCTCAATAGTTGTTCTGTCAGCCATAAAACTGTACATTCCCATAAATATTATAATGTAGCTGCCGGTAAATGCGGCGGGCAAAGCCTCGATGAGAGCAGTCGCTGTCAGTGATAACTCTTTGAAATAATACGTAGCAAATAAAAGCCCAATATTCGCAACAATCTCTCCGATAAAAGGAAAAAGTATAAAAATCTTTCTTTTCTTTGTCTTATCACTCCATGCTCCAATAAACAAGACCATCACAGCCGGTATCGCAGTCTGTAGAGGGAACTTCCACGCCACAACCTTAGCTACTAAAGATTGCACATTATTTAATTCTTTTTCCAGACCGGTCGTATTTCGATCCCTGATACGATCACATATATCATCGCTATACTGAAAATTGACTCTACATGACTTCTCCAAGTGCATATTTTGCACAGCCAGCGATGACAGAGCCGTGCATAACATAAATGTAAACAAACACGGCTCCACTGTTGTCTCCCGAATACAATACTTGATTTCCTTCAACATGCGTTTAGATTTTTCTCTCCATGTCGTCTGATCTCGGTCGCCGGTCAGATGTATATTAGATTTAGTGAAATCGACGGAGCTGTTGATGTTTTCAGTACTGGCACTCATATTATAACACCGCGATAAAAGTGAGAGTCAGTAAAAGTGATCGACACGGTATATTTGAAACACACACAGGCTGAGAGCAGTGGTCCGCGACCGCCGCCGTCGTTGGTTCGTGACTGCTACGCGCTTAATCCGATGCTTTCCAAGTGTCGTTTCCAAAAACCAGGGATGTAAATATCAGGTTGTAAAATGCAGAGCGATAGCGGAGCGCGCGTCGTCGGTGAACGCACGAGGCGCTCGCATCTCGCTCACGATAACAGAGGTCTCACAGCCAACAACACTTTTAATAAATGGTTATCTGAGCACCTTGAGTTACACATAATCCGACGCTCTTCCCTGTCTACGCGGCCTCACTAAATGAATAAATAAATTAAACAACTGTACAAATTGCTTTCGTGACGAGTGCTGTATAAATATCTTTTTATCACTAGGGTGAACGTTCGGTTTTTATTTTGCTTCAGGTTATAATTTAAACGTTTAAGCAGTCTGCCAATTGACACGACCACGTATGATTAAATGAGGTTATTGATCTGTATCCTATTCTATCATCTAACGGAAAAAGATGCCAACTTAATGGTTGAACATTTTTACAAACTTAACATCCTGTGATCCTTTGACATTAACATTTTTATTTCTTGATACTCTTCAACATTTTAGGAATAAACGAAAAATTAAATCATCTAAAGTATTTTTAGTCGTCGTGTTGTGTAGAAACATTAAAATTAAGCCAAACTGCAACTAACTTAGTAGAACTTTTTCTGAATTTGCAAATTACCAAGTTGAAACCATTTGTTGAATAATTGTATTGTAGGTAGTTATTCTTAAATTTTAAAATAATTGTAGTTGTGGCTGTGTAAGGAAAGAAAGCTAATAAAACTTAAAAATAAAAGTCACAGATTAATTCTATGATTAAAAGAAAAATAAAAACATTGTTTTTTTATAACACTGCAGAATGCGCCTGTTGAAATATATTGGCAAAGTAAATAGTAAGATTTAGTAGGCGCTATATGTTTTTTTTTATTTCGCGAAGAAGTTTATAAATGCAGTAATATGAAGGAACAGACATAGGAACGTATCACGAAAAAACATTCTGCAGAACATAACAAGCATAATAATAATGTTTAATATATGAGCATGTGATACACGATTATTTCATAAAAATAATTGTTCAGTCTAGATAGATACACATATTGAATATAAATAAAAATACGCAAAGATTTAGGTTTTATTTAAGTTTATTATAAAACGTTATAACTTAAACAACAAAATATAATTTCAAATGACTTGGTGGTTCAAATTATGTTTGATTACTGAGTCCTTGTAAGTTCACGATTCATTTCCAACGATACTTGGCTCTTGGAAATCGACATGACGGAAATGAGTCGAAATGAACTTCAATAACTTTAAATGGAATTTTGTCTTATCCTCTTACAGATCCTTGATAAATCGATTATAAGTAAAATTATATCCGTCTCTACTTAACTGCAATGTAACTTAAATTTATTTAATTATTAAACTAGAATTATAATTTAGAACTCAAAAAATTCTCAGGGCTTGTCCCACCGCTAGCTGATAGAGGCTCAGATACCTTAAAAATCACATCACTGTCAGATAAGGAAACAAAATCCGATATTTCCATTACATATTTTAAACGTTGGATTATTATCAGACAATTTACAATTTGTTGGGACAGGCCATACTTTAATTTTATATTTATTTTCGTGTTTTTAAATTCCTTAACCTTGTTCTGTAACATAGTAACTAGTTTTCTTGTTAAATTAAACACATCTTGGTCATTTTTAAGATCAGTAAAATTAGTAATATTTACCGGCAACATTAGACCGCCATCGCGAATAACAAGAAATCTAAAAACGGAATCTTCCACAACATTGACTTTGTATAAAGTAATAATATAAGAATCGGGGCAGTCGAATTCTTTGTTTAGTTTGGACTAAAGCACTGTAGCTGCGTTTTCATGAGCATGCATTTCCTTAGCTTCTGGGTCGGTTACTTGATCCCGTGCTTGACGTTTTTGTATACTGTAGATTGCTCTGTAAAATTAAATAAATTAGTAAATATACGTTCCTAAATTACAAATTATCTTTAGTCACCATTCGCATGGGCGTTTTTAACGCACTAAAAAACGTTGAAATAAATGAATGCAATTTAATGCACCTAAAATATGGTTTTTAATGACGCTTTTTTATCTAAACTAATATTATAAAGAGGAAAGATTTATATTTGATTCACGTAAAAACTACTTTTTCGATTTTAAAAATTCTCTCACCGTTACAAAGGTATGGATCTGAGAGTAGCATAGGTGTTTTTATTTTTTTTTTAGTTTCACACAGACGAAGTCGCGAGCAATAGTTAGTGGGATTATAAAGCGAAACTGCTGCACACCAAATATTACGGTTCCTTAGAATCTGTTTGTTACAATATGTTTTAGAATATAATTGTATACTGGCATTGGATACATAAAGTGTTAGAACTTACAGGAATATGACGAATGCTGGTACTGTCATAATACCACCGAGCAGATAAAATGCACCGATGAAATTATCAAGTGTGCCACTATACACTTTGCTGTACAGAGGAGTGTAAATCACAGGAATTATTGCCTCCACGAAGCCGATCAAAGAACACATCTTGCCTGGAAAATTAAAAGAAAACTACATAAAGTCTAAATAAAGATAGAGAACGCAGGTGGTATACTACACGTAGAAGCTTAAGGGTACACTAAAGTTATCCTTTGGTGAACAATAACAACACTACGGTAGTAAGTACAAGAGTCTAGATGCAGTAATTCTAGAATATTCGAGCCCTCTAAATTTAAAATTATTTGTTTGAATTATTGACATTTAAGCTTTTTAAAACCATCACACAATGTTATAAAAAATTATAATTACAAATCCGGTTTCTATGGTCTTGTGAATGATATCACCTTGTAGCTATTAAGACGAGTTACATCACATTATCTTGAGGGAAAAACGTGGCTCTAGACATAAGAATCCAAACAAAATAAATAAAAACTTGTTTCAATGATAATATATACAAAAAGCCATTCTATCTTAATCCTTCTTAATGCAATGGCTTACTCAAAAATCGTTTCAAAATGGAAATGCAAATACTCGTATATCAGAAATAATTTTACTTTGATTACAACACACTAAAACGATTGTTTTGGTCGATCTATCCTCTAGTACATTCACTAACTTGTTATGTATAAAACATCTGTCGGAAGTTAAGCATAGCTGGCTAGCGCTGTCTAGGAAATAATCAAAATTCTAATTAGAATTGCAATTGTACAATGTTTACATACCGACTTTATCTTGATCAACAACTTTAGTTCCTAAAGATCGGATAGCTGTTGTTCCTGAATTGCCAAAGAAATCAAAAGCCGGACCACTGTAGAACCAGGCTTTTGTTGGCGCCAATGAGTATACGAAACTTGATGCTACTTTGCATACAGTAGCTATAACGCCGATTAGAGCATCATGCATTTTCAGATATTTACTGAATACGGTTACCGCCACTGCAGTCCCTGGAAAATTATTGTACAAATTTAACATTAATCATTCCATTATCATTATTAATATTTACTATGCAACTTACCTCCTAATCCCATAAGGATAGAATAAGTCATGAACAAGCTAAACTCAACCACAGTCATGTTATATTTCGTCAAAGTGTAGAGAAACAGTACTCCCGCCTCCCCTGTAAAGTAAATATTATTTTAACAAAGGTTTAAATGTTTCAATTTATATTTTCCTAACATTAAAGTTTCATACCATAAACTGGTCCTATGATTACAATATGAGCAAAAATTACAAGCACAATTTGGTTCAACTGCATTCTCTCGGTTGTGAAAAGAAGTGACATCGTATCCCAAACATGTTTAGGATGGAAGAACTGGATGATTTTTTCTCCGAATGTTCCTTCCATCTCCACTCTTCTAACATCATGCACTCTGAAATATGTTTGAAGGAACGCTAACACATACAATAATGTCCCAATGCCGAATATACCGTAGTATCCCACTGCTTCTGTTAATACTCCACTTATAGAAGACCCTAATGGTATACCCAGAGTCACTATAACAGCCACTACACCGATTCTAAATGTCCGAGATTCAACAGTTGTTACATCTGCTATGTAACTGTAAGATCCCATCAGAGCAATTGACAGTCCCCCTGAGAATGCAGACGGAAGGGCTTCTATTAATGCCGTTGCCCATAATGGCCATTCTAAAAAGAAGTACGTAGCAAACAGTAATCCTATAGCTGATATTAGTTCCCCTATAATGGGACAAAGCATAAGAGCTTTCCTATTTCCAGTTTTATCACTCCATGCTCCGACAAACAAGATAGCTATAGCAGGGATTCCACTCTGCAAAGGTTGCTTCCACGCTGTCATATCAGCTACCATTTTGTGTGCACCGTTTAGAGCCGCTGTAGTAACATTATCCAAAACTTCGCCGCTAAATGCCAAAGTGCACATTTCCTCCGAATAATTTAAATCGGATCGACAAGCTTTCTCCAAATTAAGTTTTTGCACCGCTAGAGATGATATCACGTTTGGCATAATATAACACAGTAAGAATGGTTCTACAGTAAAAAACTTTAATAAAATCTTCACTCTATCCAACCAGGATATTTGTTCGTGGGTTTCTTTTCTTTCGTCATTTTCTTTTTTGTTAGTATCCGCGTTTTGATCTTTGTTAACATTTTCTGTCAATTCCACTTCACTTATAGTTTTGTTTTCCATTTTGTTGGATAGAAAACCAACATGTTATTTTAACACAAAATTGATGTGTGTCTATTTGTAAACACGAGACGCAACTGGCCTATGGCAAACTTGTATTTTCATCATATCGCTATTAGTGGTTACGGCCAAACAGGTTAACGTTCTATGCATCCTTCAAGGTGACCACAAATACAAAGATCAAGTGCAACTTTTTGATTCGGAGGCCAAATATTACGAAAGTGATACATCAATAAATACCTTAAAACTCACATATGGAGGAATTTTTATCGAATTAGCTAAAATTGACACCATAAAAGTTTTTCTGTACTATAAAAGCTTTGACAACTTAAATTTATTCAAGTGAAAGTGATGCATGAAAGGTAACATTATCAAAAAGGGAGTGATGACTGAGATGATGTATGTTAGATTTATGTAGAGACAAAAACGTGTTGTGCCGACCCTACGCGAGTAGGATAAGGAAAATTAACTTTGATTACTTCAAAACCTATGAAAATAGTGATTTATAAAATACAAGGTAACACTAGTATGGGCGTTAGGGTAGGGCACGGTTTGACAAACGACCAGGGTTCCCAATATAAATGGCCACCACAAGTTTACGATTTCTTTTACATAGAATATATGTAACATGGTCAGAAGAGCACTGGCAACACCAATAACATGGTGGCTTCAGTCTTACAGCGACGTAGAAATTTACTAGGTGCTATGATCTATATTCATACCGTTGCTGCGAAGAGGAAAGATTCGTATTTTTTTATGTGTTGTATTAACTCAAAAACTACTGGAACGATTTTAAAGATTATTGTACCATTAAAAAGTCAATTTAGACTCTACACGCCCTAAATCTGAATGGAATATAGTTACTTTTTTCAATCATTATAATTAATATATCAACATGAATAAAATGCGAACATAAATAGGTATCGAATGTTGAATGGAATGCAGCCACCGCCCCAGAATACTGGTCCAAAATAATTCTTAAGGTCATGGAAATATAGTAAAAAATACATAATACTACTGCGTAGTTTAATAAGGATACATAACATAAACTGACCAATGTTGAGTAAACAGATTGTAAATTCATACTTTCCAATGTAATAGGATAGGAACAATCATCATCCACTTGCCCTTATCCCTTATGGAGGGTCGGCACAGTATGTGCTGCTCTTCCATACATCTTTATCAGCCGTCATATCTGAATCCACTCCTTTCTTAAGCATATCTTCTTTCACACAATCCATCCATACTTTCTTCGGTCTTCCTCTTCCTTTGTAGCTATCCACATTCAATCTTAACACTTTCTGGTTTATGTCCCCATCATTTCGGTCGCATAACATGTCCATACCACGCTAACCTTGTGATTCTCAATTTCTCCCCCACTGGCGCTACTTTCAATAGGATAGGAACAATCGATATTGATAAACTTGAAAAATAGACGCATACAAAGTAATTATTCTAGAAGTTGTTAGTTGGTCTTAATAATAAGGAACTTAATTGTGAAGTTTGAAATTGAAATCTTACACCGGTTTATGTAATACTCACTTTTTGATATGTTGTTACGCGTAGAATTAATAGTACTCTATGAAAAAGATAGTATAGAGAAAATTAATAATTTTCAATTTTTAAACATAAAAATCAATTGTTTTAGTGTTGAAATAAATATCATTAATGGTCGATAAATTAATTAGTCCTGTGTATAAACAGGATTTGAACTGTTTCATTTTTTTTAGGCCGTACCTTACGGAAATATCATAGCAATTCTTTCAACTTGTAGACTAAAACAATTGCTTGTTGTATTTGTAAAGGCGCTTGCGTTAGTTGAGGATATACTATGCATTTAACCTTCATATAGTCATGATGCCTGGTACAACTATTTACTGAACTAAGAAAACACTTCATGCATTTACTTTTTATATCGACAATCTAAATTTAAATTATTTTTTAATGAAAAAGTTACCGAAAAGTCAGCAAAGATGACTTATTTGTCCATAACGAATCAACGATTTTTTTTTAGCGGTAACAAGTTAATCAGTTAACATAACATTACAGATATAACAGTAAGGGCATGTCCCACCGTTGCTTAGAGAGAGATAGCTTAAAAGTGGCGTCACTGTCAGATAGAGTAACAAAATTCGATTTCATCACATATTTTATACGTTGCATTGTTATCTGACTATTTAGAAGAATTGTGGGACAGGCCCTAAGAGTTTTCTTTCATATAATACGGTATACGTTTACCTAGCAATTACCGTGTAAATAGTCATATTAACGTGGACATTGGACAATTGTTCAACACAATATTTGTGTTTAATTAATCAACGTGTTAAATTGACTGTATGATGCAGTATATACTATAATAACTAATTACAAAGCCTGTACTAATCGGAATTATTGTGTTTACGTACATGAATTGTGTATCGTTAATAACAATATGTACGAATTAAGAACGCATTATTATAGATTATTCTTATTTCAAATAGTAATTTAATATAACGACTCTTTTATAGCTTCATAGATTAGTAATACTACATACTAATACTAATACTATACTATACTTATAATAAAGTTTAAACACACACTTCTTTGTTGCCTAAGATGTCAGCAATTACAGCACATTTATGAATAATTCTTTTTTAATAAAAAGCCCTACACTTACGTCACGCTTTAGGCTATATATTTTCACGCCATTAAACTGAAGGGTTAAATATTTTGGATAAAAACCCTAATGTGGGAAAGAGACCATAAGTTGCTGCCAACATCAAGGTAGCAAGCTTATCATGGTTTTATCATTTTCACATTTGTAATTGATAATTTGAGAAATGTAAACAATAAAATAAAATTTTCATAATTATATGCGGATGAAGTCGCAAGGAAACAGCTAGTAATATTATAAATGCGAAAGTTTACATGGATGGATGTACGTTTGTCAGAGTTTGTACTCTAAACGGCTGAACGCATCTCGATGAAATTTGGTAGGTAGAGATGTAGAGGATAGTCTGGAAGAACACATACGATACTTAATTTTGTTTTTTTTTAATTTCCACGCGGACGGAGTCGCGGGCGAAAGCTAACTATTAATTATATTTAATACTCTAGTAGTTATGTACTGAGCTAACGTAGATATTAACTATACCCAGTATTAATAGTTATTTCTGCGATATTGTATTTATTATTATCTGTGGTATAATTGATAGATATTAAATTTTGACGTCACAAGTCTTATGATATAATAATTTCCAAATGAATTATCTTAGTTTTAAGTATTTTTTAATGTTAACGTCAATCGTTTATTTGCGTTAGAAATAAGTATTAGAACAATATTCATACTTTAAAAATTCTTATACCACAGTAGGAATAAGAACTAACAGAGTAGGTGTGGATCCTAAAAAGTTAATAATAAAATTTTACTCTTGCTTTTAAGACGTTTTAATTTACTTATCCGGTCTGAGTTAAATAAAATATGTAATATTAAAAATATTACGCAAATCATTTTTTTTAATCACACTTTTATGAAAGATAAAAATAGCATTTATATTATGCGTTGTCTCAATTTTATTATCTTAATTATTTAAAAAAGTATAAAAAACGCAAACTTTAATAAAATAATTCTCACACCATTATCAATTAAATTTAAATATCCACTTATAAAGAGTTTTGTAAATAAAAGTGACGTTAAACGGTTAAAAAAATACTAAAAAACCGGTATTACAAATGACATATTTCATTTAATATGGAAAATTTTAGAAGCTCATCGACATATTGTTATTCTAAAACAAAAACATGTTATAGTAAGAAATACAACAAACATTTACTTACTTATTTGTATTACGGTTTATTTCCAATGTCTGGGCAATCCCTCTTGTTCTCTTTCAAAAAGACATAGATAGAGATAGTATACGTACATAAGTGAAATTTGAAATTCATTGGTAACTTTCAAAGTTTAAACAGGGCCTATCGAGAATATTTGCCCGACAGTTGCGAGAAAAAATTGTCTGAGATTCGTTGGTCTACTTTACAGCAGGTAGATGTAGTACAGATGGCGTTACGAAATCGTTCTCACAAATATTCGTAATAAGGATTCTGTTAACCACCACATTTTAGGAAATTCGAAATGAACACGCAGACGAAATCACGAGCAACAGCTAGTGTTTTATAAAGGACGTTTTAAAAATAATTTAATAACGATAGTCATACAAGGGACCTTTACAACTCTATGGCTTACTCATTATTTATTCATGAAAAGGATTTCTTGTTTAATGATATTTCAAAGCTAAACATGTTTGGGTTTCACCAAACCTGTCTAAAACTATTGTAGCCACTCCAAGGTTCTTCCAGACTACTGTCAAAATCTATGCGAATGTTTCTCCGTTTAGCTCTTTAGGCTACAAAGTTTAACAAACAATCTTCCATCCATATAAACTTTTACATTTATAATATGAGTATAATTAGTAAGATGGTTGAAATAGGCGTCTGCTAGCATACATTGATTGCCATAGTAACTGTGTTAAGTACATAAAGCCAAGGATATTAACAAAACTGTATTGTTTGTACGTTCCTGTTAGACCCTTGATTCTTCTTTGTTAATAGGTTTTTCACTCACAAAATCTACAAAAAAACTAACTACCAAGAATAAGAGGGATGATTATCCAGCTATTGCCAAAACGGCAATGAAAACTCATTGCAATTTTCGAATTTAATTTATAAACAAAAACCACCTTAAGTAGTTTTCAATGTGAATATTTTAGCGACCATTTTAATATTACGAGAATTAGATGAAAAACCTTGATGAACGAAATGACTTTTTAATATGAGCTCATTCAATAAATTCATATTGCCAATGGGATACAATTCAGTTTGTTGCACAATTTTTATCTTGACCGACATTTTGGGAAAAAATTAGAACGCATAATGTTACGTACGTGAGGTATTAGTTCATTATTATATTCAAGTACATAAATTGCAACATAGACATACATCTATACTAATATTATAAAGAGGAAAACTTTGTTTGATTGTAATGAATAGGCTTAAAAACTACTGAGCAGATTTTAAAAATTCTTTCACCGTTAGAAAGGTAATTTATTTCTAAGTAACATAGGCTATATTTTTTCATTTCATTATTATTATTTTTAAATTTCACGCAGACAGAGTCGCGGGTAAAACCTAGTAAATAATTGATCTAGAGTATATGAAGGAGAATAGTATATTTCTCTGTGTATTTAAAAAGGTTGTATTTAGCCTTTTGACTTTTTAGATCATGTGAACCTTGCCTATTGAAAATTATTCCAAAGTACAAATTCAATTTCCAATAAAATTCATGATTTTTATATAAAGCAATTTTTCGAGTCCTCAAACTACCCTGCCAAAATTTAATCACAACCAAGTGGCGAGCGTCGGTGTCTCAGTGGTTTGAACACTTGACTTGTAATATACAGGTCTTGGGTTCGAATCCCGCCATGTACTAATGTGATTTTCGATTTTTTCGAATTCCCATATGTACATAATTTACCCGACGTTCTTACGGTGAAGAAAAACATCGTGATGCAACCTGCACATATCAGCAAAGAAATTCAAAGATATGTGGGAAGTCAACCAACCCGCACTTGGCCAGCGTGGTTGACTATGGCCTAGTTACCCCTTATTAGGGTAGGCTCCGAGCCCCTCGGTGGGGACGTATAGTGAGCTGGTGATGATGATGAAGTGGCGTAGACGTCACATGTGTTTACAAACTTTCGAACATTGATTTTTTTCTACTACTCCAAAACAGCTTAATGTATTTCTATTAAATTTACCACAGTTGTAGAATATAGGCAGGAAGAACCTCTAAGCTTCTTACCGGGGTATTTGTTAAATTCTGCTGGGACGGATTCCCGCGCAAAAGCTATATTTATACAAAAACAAAGATGAAAATTTTGAGTTAAGAAATAAATGGTCACTTTTGAAGTGTTTAAAAAATTATACCGATTTTCATATTAGATTCTATTCAATAAGTGGTGTTTTAATTAAAGTTTTGTTTATAGCAAAGCGTGCTTAGTTCGGCCACGTGATAGTGTGATAAAGTACAAATTAAAGTGCAGGCGGCCAGCTGATGCCGATAGCCAGTGCTCGCCGGCCACTCGCATATAATACCCGCCTCGTATTTAACTGCGTTGACAATATAAAGTCGCACGCGCAACCGGCCGACCGTTGCCGCGAAATAAAGTGAAAATTAAATAATACGCACTACAATTAAATGATTGACGTCATAAAACATTTTTTTATAATCACACGTTTATAACAAATGAACTTTAAAGTGGGCTACTTTCTTCAAAATGACGTTACGGGTCGAAGTGCCCGGGGATAAAATCGTGACAGTGGAATCATGCAAATGCAACAAAAACTATTGCACGGATGTCGCAAAAAATGAATCGAAATTCACTAGAAGATTAAAAGAAATAATAAAAGACACTTGGGATACCAGAACGAAAATAACAGTAGAGCCTTATGTAATTTGTTATGTTTTACCTAGCGTTCTAGCGGGGTTGGCCGTGCAAAATTTGTGTTTAGAAAAATCATGCCTCGTGAATTTAAAATACGACGAACGTACCTGCACGAGTATAATGCAGGGACGGACTCACAATTACACGGAGCAAGAAAGAAGTGTTCAGACAATGGTGGCGGGGATGACCGCTTGGAGCTTCCCCTTACAAACTGCACTTCCTGGATTAATGACACTCTTCGTGGGTGCATGGAGCGATCGGACGGGAAACCGCAAAGCTTTCATGGTATTGCCTATAGTAGGGAAACTAGTATCTGTGTTCGGACTAATGTTGAGTTTGGCGTTCTTCCTCCAAGTGGGTTTGAACGAGACCGCGCTGATCGAGGGTCTACCTCCCGCGCTGGCTGGCGGCCGCGTCGCCATGACAATGGCAGTGTACAGCTACATTACAGACGTCACCTCTGATTCTGAACGGACTTATCGTTTAGGCATAATAACGGCCATTTTGACTCTCACGAGACCTGTAGGTCTAGCTTTAAGTGGTATTATGACGAAACGTTTTGGCTACTATGGTGTTTTTACAATTGCGTGCGTTTTTTATTTAAGTGGTTTCGTGTATATCGTACTGAGGTTGAAGGAGAAGCCGAAAAAGTCAATCGATAATGACAATTCAGATACGATATTCTCTTTGTTTTCAATAAAAGATTTGAGTGCGACCATCAATGTAGCTTTTAGAAAACGCGAAGGCTCACGTAGGCTGCAAATTATTCTCATCATGTTGGCTTACATGTTCATCGTGGGACCAGTGCTGGGTAAGTGGTTTCTCATACAAACTTATTAAGTAAGTTTAAATTAGTATAATTTTTACACTTAAAAAGAGCTTTGTTTTCGTTATGTTTTAACTTTATCAGCAGTATTACCGTCGTAAAATCAAATCTGCCACATGTGCTCAGATCGGTTTGTTTTATTTACTTTTTTATGATCAAATGTAAATTCCTTTCAGTCTCGACACAAACTTTCAAATAGCACAATTGTTCACTTACATAACAATACAAAATAGTTACATTGTTGATTACCGAACATTTTACGGCTGCGTTTTAAACGCAATGTAAGTTGGTACTACAGTTTTAAAATAGTGTGTAACAAGAACTCTACGTATGTAAGCATGGATTATCACTGTAGGCAGTTAGGACGGCTGGATAATACACTATTATCTATTATATATTTCAAACCCAATAAGATATTTATAAAATTTATATAATTGAGTAAACACACAAACATATTTTCATTTTTACTACCATGCCTACAACCCATGCAAATACGTATAATAATAACACTGGGGTGTTTGTAATATCAAAAGAAAAACCCATATTTCGGGAACATGTATTTGCGTTGCTAATGAAGAAAAGAAAAGGATATTTAAAAAAAAAATTGTCTGTCTGTCCGCAAGTCGTGTTTGTTCCGGGTAATCTCTAAAACGGCTGGGCCAATTTCGACCGGACTTCCACTGTAAGGTAGCTGACATAGCCGGGCATATCATAGGCTACTTTTTTATCTTAATATTGCGTAGACGAAGCCGCGGGCAATAGCTAGTAAACAATAAAATTAATTTATTATATAGTATCACCACGTAATAAGATCGACAGTAATCTATTTGCTTCCATTCAATACAACCTATCATTCATTAACCATATCTTAGCGTAAAGTTTCCATTTAAATGAACCTAGTACTATATTGTTGTAGTAGTACTTAAGTATTCACAGTAATCACTATAGAATTAAGTCTTTGCCCACCCATTAAGTTACATGAATTACTCAAATGTTTATGCTCAAAGTTAAATTGAATATTATAAAATGCAAATTTTAATGTTGTGGATACTTTTAAAGCTCTTGCGAGAAGATATACTAATATGTAATATCTGCGATATAATCTCTACTTTAAATTTTTTACATAGTTCTGTTTGTAACAAGAATAAAAAAGTATAACCTTCATTAATGTACGCAACTCAACTGCTAATACGGATATCTATGGCCATTGGTCACTTCATTCTTGGTTCATTTAAAAATATAAAAAAAAATTGCTTAAATATAACTGAAAGTATTAAAGTTTTAACCATTGGTTGGAGATTTTCGGGTTCCGAGGTGACTAAATTTATAATCTATCTCTTTTTATTTTTCTTCCACAACTCTTATCAGAGTTATGTGGAACGAATATAATGCGTTAAACTAATTAAATTATTGATTACTCTGTAAATATATGTAACTTGCCCGCACGAATGTACAATCGCTTTTGTATTGTTCTTGGAGAGTACGTAATTATTTCGGCACAATGCTTGCATTATGACTGCATTATAAATGATTGTACAGTGCTAAGCAATTATGTACACTACTGCACGAAATCTCTACATCAAAACGAAGCAATTTGTCTGACAATTACATAACATGTGTCATTTAAACGTAATATAAGCAGAAATAACTCAGTGGCTAGCATCTGACATTTGATATGAAGATCGGGTTTGTTACACTTTGCGTATTCATTTTTAGGATATATCTATATTAAAATATAAAAAAATAAAACACTGGACATTACATCAAGTCGTGATAATTTCTTAAACGTCATTTTATGCATTTTATTTATGTATTATATTTATATTGTTAGTTAAGCATACGAATTGCTTTAAATCGTGCGTAGTTTATAAGGCCTTTTATAGTTTAGTCTTTTTTTTAATGTTCACCACATGACCTTTTCCACTTAAAACCCTCTAATTATCATAGGGGACTACAAAAATTGTACAACCTGATTCAGTTACTAGTAGTACTTGTCGACAAAAACAAAAACGCCAGCGCACCACGCTTCACAAAACACCTTAGAATCATTTAATAGTATGGAAATCAATGTGTCATAAGTTTAGACAGTACATATAGGAAAAAGAATTATAAATGCAAAAGACAGGAGATAACATTAAATCTGTTACCACAACCGTGACAGTGCGGCTACTCTGGGTCATATACTTTACTTTTGCCTTTTTAATTTTGCTCAATTTAGATCACAGAGTATAAATCTATATATGTTAATAACTACTTTGTTGCATGCACTGTGATTGAAATTATGATGGTTGTACAAGAAATCGCAAACAATATTGTTTAAACTAACACGTTTATATGCCCTTTCATTTTTAAGTAGTCCATAATTTTTCCGTTAAGTAAAATAAATTAATAAGTATTTTACTAACGCTAATTTAACATTTACTTAACAATGCGATAAGTTGTAAGGATTGAATTACGAAATAAGTTTATATGAAAAAACTAGCCGCGCAATTGTCTTGAGCTTTAATAATTATTAGAAAAAGCTTACCTATAACCACAGAGGATACAATACTATGCTAGTAGTCTTTATATACTCGCAGCTTTCTACTTGATGAAATGTTTAAAAACATAATGTTATAATCGTAGTAACTTTAAGCGCACACCTAAATCTATCGCAAAACTGTTTAGTGTCGCTTTCATTCCTATGAACTTATATGGAGGTGCACACTACTCGACTTTAGTTGTGCAAATAAACAGTTGAATTTGCTGGAACAATTGACAATCGAACAACTGTTGTGCGATAGTTTGGTCAAATGTAAGATACAGCTCAAACAGTATCAATTCTTTATCCCAGCGGCTGACACTTAGCGTGCTGTAATCATTTGTGCAATTTATTTTGCAACACTGTTTCGGACGGATAGATGCGCTATATTTTGCAACAAACGATATTGAAAATTTACGCCGTTAATCCCGATTATAGACGTCACAGCCATTATTATGCTTTAATAAAATATAGTCTTCTTTAGCTGTTATGTTTTCTTCCAACTTGTACGGAATAACCTTATCAATGACACCGTTTTTCCACCATCCGCTACTCGCCATTACCAATATGGCCGTCGTGTAGCGCAGTTAATACAACACTTTTATATCTGACATCTGATTTCTGTCCGATTATTGAATTAACAAATAAAATTCTTACATTTTAAAATTATGATACAAATATTTAAATAATGCGTTTGAAAATAATTGCAAAGTATATATTGTTATTTTCAATAAAGATAAATGGTATGGATTTATAGCTCAGACTAAATAACCTTTAAGAAATACAGACTACATCAAAATAGTGTAAAAGCTAACACGATGGTACATTTATTTTGCATGTTTTAAGGAGTGTTTTTTTATAATAAACTAGCTTTGATCAAGACTTCATCCGCGTGGAATTGAAATAACAAAAGTGAGTAGCCTATGTGTTCTTGACTATGCTATACATCTGCCAAATTTCATCAAGATCCGTTCGGTCATTTAGGCCAGTTAGTTGTTAGTTAACGTTGTATGTTAGTAAACTGTCAGCATTTATAATACTAGTAAGATTAGACAAAATATTTGCCTTTTATTATTTAAAAATAACTAATTGTCAAATAGTTCTTGTGGTTAATTTATTGGCCATTACAATGAGTGACGATATGTGTTTTTATTAATTTCTTTTACTTTACTATTATCATATTCGACTCTGTAGTAAAGCTGAAACCCTAGATTTTTAATACAAATGGAAGTAAAATAAAAATCTTCTTTACACTTAATTCGACCCTTAAAATAATAATAAAAGTAACAAAGTCAAGAGGCTCGTTTTCATTTCGCATCCGGACGGAATATAAAAAACAGGTTGTTTTAAATATGTAAAAAATAAAACGGTTTAAAGGGGAGAGATATTTATTACTTAAAAAAAAAGATACATGGGATCAAATTTCACCAACGTATAAAATTATAAATATCTTGTTTTAGAATATATTTTTAGCTTATCAATATATTGACCTTTTATTGCCATGAATATTGTTAAACTTAAACCGGAATAAAAAAAATATTAAATGCTAAGTAGTGGAACAGGCAAAAGGCACGAGTCTTTGGCTGTATCTATACTTCTATACTATTATACTAAAGCGTAATCACAAACATTTTTGTTGCCTAAGATGTCAGCAATTACATCATATTTTTGAATAATTCTTTCTTCAATAAAAAGCCCTACACTTACGTCACGCTTTAGGCTATATATTTTCACGCCATTAAAGTTAGTGGGTAAATATTTTGGATAAAAACCTTAATATGGGAAAAGGACCTTAAGTTACTGCCAACATCAAGGAAACAAGACTGTTAAGGTTTGATATTTGCTATTGATAATTTGACAAATATAAAGAATAAAATAAAACTTTCATAATTTCATGCGGATGAAGTCGCACGGGAACAACTAGTGTTTAATAAAGATGACGCAGCATACGTCGAGAAAAATGTCTTTTTTCTAATTGTTTGTATCCTTAGTACTTAATGGAGTTTGGATGTTCGGATGTCGTACTATAAAGCGAATGTTACACTATATATTGCAACGTTCCATACAGGACGTTTATTATTCATTGATGATTCCAATTTTTGAGCATTGTAAATTGACTGCCTTTATAGATTGTCTACTTGTACAATAGGGTTTAATGGAAGGTTAAAAATTCTCCAAATGTATATTTTACGTTTCTTGTATACAATGTAGCTTTTGAACGATGAAAGAATTTTTAAAATCTGCCTAGTAGTTTTTGAGTTATTTCAATACATACAAAAACAGAAAACTTTCCTATTTGTAGTTACTATAGATTAATTCGTACAACCAATGTTTTGTAAAATTAATAAAAAATATATCTCTTTTGTTTACTTAAATTATTTAGTAACTTTTGTAAATATTTTTCTCCTTGACATTTTGTTATCACTTCCTTACAAAGCGAATAAATGTATGTCAGTAATACAATTTACGATGTTTTGTATGGACCTTCAAGTAGATCATTTTCTGCTATTCGGCGGACACGACAGATAAATAATGTTCGCCCCACTTTTCTTATCATATAGCTAATATTATAACACTAAACGTCAGATAATAGAAATTCAAAACTATTGTTTCTATATTAACTTAATACTCAAACAATTTGAAAGAAAGGAATAAAACTTTTTCATTATCATAGCTCACTATACGTCCCCCACTAAGGGGCTCGGAGCTTTAAGTAAGGAGTGACTAATCCTTAGTCAGCCACACTCGCCCATTGCTTGTTGGTTGACTTTACACATATCTGTCGCCGATATGTGCAGGTTTCATCACGATGTTTTCCTTCGCCGTAAAAACGTGCGTATACATATGAATTAAAGAAATTCGAAAATCGAAAATCAGATTGGTACATGGGGGGATTCGAACCCAAGACCTGTAGATTACAAGTCAAGTGCTTAAACCATTGAGTCACCGACGCTTTTAAACTTTTTACTCTATTCAAAAATCGTTGGTATTATTTATAGTAGGTATTTTAACATTCAAAAATTATGAACGCATATCTACTCTGTGGATGTTAGATGCACAACGAATGTAGAAAAGCTTGCAAAGTGGTCTGCGAATTCTGTGAAATTTCGAGCAGCCGTTAAGTTTGAATAGGAGTGTACAAACGTACAGGACATACTAAATGATGAACTCTTGCAGTCGATTTGAGAGAAATCAAAGTGTAGCGAATTAGCAATTTAGTCAAGTTTTTCTTATTAAGTTATTATTTCTTCTTAGTGTTTAAAATATTCCACGTGTAAATGATAGCTTAGAATATTAGATCTAACTGGAAATATTAGGATGAAAGCAGATATTTTTAGGTCAGCAAGTTATCTTGATAGTTTTAACTTTGTTGCAACTTTAATGTAACAAGAAGAATACATTATTTCTTAAGTGGTATAGATTACATATTATGTCATCGCTTCTATTCTTTGAAAAAATAAAGATAACAATAATATGCAATTATACAAGCGCAGGTGAACTACGCGAGAACTCATATTTATAGTTTTCGTTGATAGAAAACTTTACTAAACGACCAATTTGATTCATAGCACATTGGTTGATACTTGATATACGACGGTACCCTTTTATGAAGCGTTTCTTTGAACATTCTTAGAATGAATGTGTTAGAAGCTACGGGTGCGTTTAGTGGAGCCTATTAAGAGTAATGTTTGCAGATTGCCGACGCTCACGGGCTCGGAAGCTTGACTAATAGATGTGTTATTTGGGATAAAGGTGAGGCGCAGATGACGTACTGGTTCACTCGGTACAAGTTCAAATTCACCGAAGTCGACTACAGCTTGTTCCTCACATACTCCGTACTTGTCGGCAGCATTGGTAAGTTCTTTTTTTCTTTACTAATTTTAAAGTAGTATAGTACTAAAAATTAAAGAGGAAAGATTTACTATTACTACTGGGCCGGTTTTTATAATTCTTTTTGTATCAAATATTTTGGTCCAAACAATCTTGCGGTTAACTGTAAGGTCGACGATAACGCTTTGCGTTTTTATCGTTAATATATTTCTTAAAACAATTGTAATTTAAAGGTTAATTTCTTTTCATGTAAAATGGAATTTAAGAATACATTTATAGGATGGGAATAAAATAAATCATTTTATTATAGCTATTACAAACCTTATAACGCTAACTTACAAAATTAGATGGCCTAAGCGTAACGAAATTACGATATTTTTCTGTAATAACTATCATTTTATGTATTTATCTTCATATAGAGAAATAAGATCTACTTAAAGGCAAGTTATGTCGCCAGTCGCCTGTCTTTCAATCATTTATGAGATTGTCAATACAAAATATTTTCGTACAATGAAATAAATCGAAGTGTCTGTCTCATAAAAATGTAATGTGTCTCAGTAGACGTATTACGTTTTATGAGAATAAATCCAGTGATTTTATTTAGCGTTGGTTTCTACCGGCGAAATACCCGTTGAGTATAAAAATAACAATATAGTTTGTTGTATGTTTTTATTGGAGTATAACGACGTAACTATGAATAAATGTAGTTTATTATTGTTTATAATAAATTCTTTCACGATAAATAACTCATTCGATCTTTCAGTTAACAAAATAAAGAAGATATAGAGTAATTTAACGTATTTGGGATCTCTCTGTACAAAACCTATAGCTGATCTTTCATTCTTTCCCCTGTCATTGGTCTTTTAGTAATTTCCTTAACTCTGTCTATACATAAATTGGAGTGTTGTAATATCAAAATAACAATTCCAGATTATGGGAAGATTATGTGTTTGATTTAATTGACTTTAAAACGAAAAACGCATTTAATTTTTTTTATCTGTCTGATTTCGACCGGACTGCCACTTAAGGATAATTGACAAAGACGGGCATATTCTAGACTACTTTTTAATCTTAATACTGCGTGGATGAAGTCGCAGGCAACAGCAATTATTAAAGAAATGATATTGGCAATATATACATAATTTAAATTTTAAACCGAGTTTATTTTCCCTAACATTATATTTGTAGCAACTGTTGTATTTAGTTTTAAAATTCCCACTGATAATTAACTGAGAAATTCCTTTACGTTATTTAAATTATGATACAACATTAATGGACGTCACCTTTGTTAATGATAAGATTGTCACAGCAAGAGAAGAGTCACAGTTAACTAAATATAAACAAAACGATATGAGACATTAACTAATTATTTATTAGCTAAATATTTATGACAGCGTGCGAATGTTCCATAACTATGACATCTGTGGAACATAACTGTGCGTTTACACTGTTAAAAGACTTGTTTAAACACATGTTTACATTTTTATTCCTCGTATGATTATAGATGTTTTAAGAGTGACATTTCAGCTTAACATGTATTTATGTTAAACTAGCTGTTGTTAGCGAATTCGTCTGCGGGAATTTCAAAAAAATAGTAAATATACAGCCTATGTTACTCAGTGATAACATAGCTTTTTAATAGTGCAAGAATTATTAAAATCGGTCCAGTAGTTTTTGAGTTATTACTATACAAAAATACAAATCATTCCTCTTTATAATATTAGTATAGATACATTAATCTTCTTTCAAAAAAAGCTTTTGTCTATGGTCTAAACAATTTATTCTATAAATAACATTTAAGGCTAGGATGACATCTCATCATACGGATGTGAGACAAAAATCTTACCATTTGAGGAAGAAATTTTTGCCTGATTAAGTAACAAGTAGGAGACAATTTTATACCGGAAGGAACATTTTACACTGTAATTTAAATTTACGGAGATTAAATACAATTGATTTTTTAACGTTCTTTTGTTTTGGTTAATGTCCGACAAACGTGTGACAAGCGTAAAAGGTATATACGCTTAAATGGTATATCTTGTTTCCGTGGTACTGATTGACGATTGGGTTTAATTTGTGTTTCCGTATTAATTCCAATTTTCGTAAAACCATCTGCTTTTCCCTTATAATAATTAAATTTAAACAACACGTTTCTTGTGTTTTAATGAGACTAAATTTCACTATCTTTTTCTGTCAATAATAAATGCGATTAAGGGCAAGTTTTTTATCGTACCACGTGTGAAAAAACGTCCTTGACTTGAAGTTATATTCACTCTCACAAGTTTATTCTGTTCTAAATCTATTGTTAGTTTTTACATTGTATTTATTTATATTCACAAATAGTACTGTTCAATCTGTTTAAATTTCAATCTATTTATTTTCTATAAATCTATCATCCTGTTTACGATATTATTATGAGTTCAATCTATACTAATATAATAAAGCGTGAATACACACTACTTTGTGGCGTAAGATGTCAGTAATCTCAGCATACTTTTAAATAATCCCTTACTTAATAAAAAGCCCTACACTTACGACACGCTTTAGGGTATATTTTTTTACACTATTAAACTTAGGAGGTAAATAAATTGGAAAAAACATTAATGTGGGAAAGGGACCATAGAATACAAGCTGCCAACATTAAGGAAGCAAGTGTATGTGAATTTGAAAAATTTATATATAAATAGTAGTTTAATAAATTGGTAAAACAATTAATTTCCTTTATTAATCTGTATCTAGTATGTCAGTTTCAAATAAAACATCAAGCGTTTTGTCCAAACTTCCTATTTCCTTAAAGGAAAATTAGTAAACAATGTAGATCAAAACATTTTGGTGCTAATGAAATCAAGGTAAAGGTAACAAAAATCGCACTCAAATTCAATAAATGGTTACTTAAATCGTTGTTTAGAATAAATTATTTCTGCATATTTGATCTGGTATCCCTCAGTTAATGACTATGTGGTAACAATACTAACTTCGTTGTAAAATATACATGAAATTAACACTTTATTTACTAAAGTATTTTTTTTTCAAAAGATGCACCCCTTCTACATTAAATAATAATTACAGGATGTTATTAATTCAGCTTTATGTACAGGTTCTTTCATCACGCTGTATCTCTTCAGCAAGAAATGGGAGATAGAGGACAGCGCTATTGGCGTATTCGCGTGTCTGAGCAGGGTAGCTGCGAGCGTGGTATACGCGCTGGCACCAACACGCACCGTGTACTTCCTGGGACCAGTGTTGGATATGTTCAGCTCGGCGGGAGCGACATCGCTTCGATCTATAGCAACTAAACTGGTGGAAACAGATGAAGTTGGTTAGTATAGATATTTTGACAAGCATTTCTATTTTTTTATCCGGAGTCTATGCGTAATGAGGTAGAAATCGAAGTATGTGTGGGTTTTAAAAAGTCAAATGTCACAGCTTTTTTATCTTAAATTGTTTAATATAGAAATTTGAATTATCTTTTAATTTAAATTGGGTTGGAAAATATTATTCTGTTGGTTGGTCTTATTTTACATACATGAAGAGATGAATAAAACTTACTTCGCTTGAAATTTATCTAAAAGGGTTTTTTAATTCATCAGACTGCTGGAATTGTAATGGAAATTTATACATGTTTCCTATATTATTTGCTTGGACGTTATCATAAGAAAATGTCTTGGAATGTCAAATATTAATTTATTATTTATTTACGTGACAAACTTTCCATGTTGAACGAATCATTGTCATGAAAATAAATATGCCATTCAATTGCCAACTTTGCTTCTTTACATAAGATATGTAAAGAAACAAAGTATATAATGACAATAACAGCAACAAGTTCCCAAGCATTTTCCGTAAATAAACTCGCAATTACAAATATGACGAGGTGTGACGATTCTATGACATGGCCATTTGTGACAGCGACAATTCAGATTTATCTCTCCGTCATAATATTTGACTTGGTGTATTTCTGACGCGAACGTACAAGGTTAATAAATAATTTGAAATTAGTGTTTGTAGCCTAAACTGCTGAATGAGACTCAGTGAAATGTGACACAAATGTAGATGATAGTCAGAAAGTACACATAGCTAATTAATTATATTTAAAAATTAGCCTATGTATTCCTCGACAAAGTTCTACATCTATGCCAAATTTCATACACATCAGAAGCTTAGGCTACAAACTCTAACAAACCTCCATCCATCTAAACTTTCGTATGTATTTTGACAGCAGTAGTGCATTTAACATCTTAGCACTGCAGGGCCGGCACGCCCGGTGTAATACCACGACCACACAGAAGACAGGCGTGAAATGGAAGCATTTCCGCGTTTCGTCTGATGAGTGTCGTGCCGGAGACCTAATTTAAGTGCCTTTCTCCTTACCACCCTTTTCTTATAAGGAGAGGATGTGAAGGGGAAGTGCATTTGACGGAGGAGGAGATGCATAGGAAGGGTAAATATCCTCTTTATGTGCTTCTCTTCCTCTGTCGAATAACGGTGGGCAACGCATCGGCAATTACGAATGTCTATGGGCAGCGGTCGCGTCGCCATTTTAGCGGATTCAGATGGCCGCTTGCTCGTTTGCCACCTTATGTTATAAAAAAATGTATAATGTTAATTAGATTTATTTCATATAGGCTTTATATTAACAATAATAGACAGCGATTAAAAAAAAAAACAAATGTTAAGTCAAATAGGATAACTTTACTTTACCAAAATGTTTGAAAAACTTTAACGGGTATTCCAAATATCGACATTTCTGAGGAAATAAGTTACATTTCTTATTACAGCGATGTAACTCTTTACTTGGGAATATTCCATGACGAGCTGTTTTCGCCTGTTATTGTATTGTTGCATTTGTTACGGGACTAAAACAACTTATTCTATTGTATGAGTGACCTTAACAAATTTAAATGTACAAAGCTTATCCAATCACATAATTTCGTACTCTATTGACAATTATATAAAGATTTCTACGCAATTCAAATAAAATTGTATACTTCGTTTTATAAAAATAACCGTACAGAATACGTTGCTAAGCTTTTATACCGATTTTGTATAAATGTTCGTTTAAAAGTTCAACAGTGGTAGAGCCCGCTTTAACATTTTCGCACGAATATGCCAGCTCGCCCGGTGCAATACCACGACAACACAGAAAACAGATGTGAAGTGGAAGAAATTCCGCGTTTCGTCTGATGGGTGTGGTGCCGGATGCCTAATTTTAGTCCCTTTCCCTTTCCACCCTTTTCTTAAAAGGAAAGGATGGGAAGGAAAAGTAGATTTGACGGTGGAGGAGACGCATAGGAAGGGGAAATGTCCTTTTTATGTGCGTCTCCTCCTCCGTCAATCAAGAGTAGGCCGCGGATTTGCAATTGCGGATGTCTATGGGCAGCGGTCGCTTTCCATTTCAGTGGATTCAGGTGGCCGCTTGCTCGTTTGCCACCTTATATTATAAAAAAATAATTTTAATGAACTCAAAAGATTGCTACAATTAGTTGAAAACCTATCTTTTTTGAATGATTTATGCAGGTTAGATATTACAGAAACATATTCGAAAAACACAAAGAAATTGTATGATTGAATGTATGAAATATTTATTGTTTATTTTTCAGGTAAAACCAGCTCACTAATAAGCATATCGGAAGCTCTGGTGCCCGTCATCTACACGCCCGTGTACAGCAAGGTTTATCTAAGCACGCTGTCGACGTTCGCCGGTGCCTTTTATCTTATAAGTGCAGCATTAGCAGTGCCAGCTATAGGAATATTCTTGTAAGTGCAACCGTTTTATGATTTTTGTACTTTTTTTAAATAATAGTGGCCAACAATCGGCCGGTAACTCGAGGTTTTTTTTCATCTATTTAATTTTTATTTTGTGTCGAATTGCTACCGAATAATAGATTTAATCAGATAATAATAGATAAAGTAAAAATCGAATCGATTACTCGCACAATAATTTAATTTCCTTTTTTGGTTAATGATTTTCTCAAACACTATTAGGTTTAGTTAGTTTTATTAAGTGGAGTATATCTGTGGCATAGGTCATGGATATATGGCCATAAGGCCATATATGCAATTTCGTTACTTTACAGGATAAGCAATTAAGAAATCTCGAAGGCACTATTAAAACATGAAAATATATATATTTATATAATTTGCATGTAGTTTTCCTGATATGAACAAATTAAAGAGCATTTTTTGGCGATTTACTATATAAATAAATCATACTAAGCAAAAATGTACTCGTTAAAGTCTGATCTATGGCCACAGAAATCTAATCCAATGAATTTTGGAGTATCACAAAGAATTTTTGTAGACAGACAAAACGATTGAAAATTCCCAATGCAGTGTTAACCCGCGGTTTTACAAAAGCTAGATGTCATGATCGAATGCGAATACTTTCACGTTGGCTATCGTTGCGCTCAGCGGTAACAGCATTTCGAAACCAAAGCAAAAAGAGACCTTGCGGTCAGTTCAACAGTTTGCCCTTAATTTTATTGACACAAAGTAATATCTGTCGATTTCTAACACAATCGAAGCCTTGAACCGGCGTTTTCTTTGATAATTGTTATGATTTATGTGACTGGTGTTTTTTCTCATGACTCATACAACGGTATGTAGATCATTTTCATCCACAGCTGAGGCATCCGTAGAAAACTTATTGTTATTTAAGAATTATAAATAAGTAGCCTTTGCCAAGATCTTTGTTCGTGCGGTATTTAAAAAACTAAGCAAGTAACCTGTGTTTTCATTTAGACTATGTTCTGCCTCTGTGCCAATTATCATCGAAACTGTTAAGCAGTTAGGTAGTAACCTGCAAGTATATAATTTTTTAAAACCTCTTTAGAAAATACTATGACTTATGATAAATTTTACGTTATTAAGGAAATCCTAGAACACGATAATAAAGTGCATGTTTGATGTTGAGAATACTCAATGATTATCATACTAAACAATCCTGAAATAAATATTACAATTAACTTTATGTCAACATACTATAAAATGCAACGTAGAACAGCGATTCGCTAAAACTTGTTTCAATAAGTAAACAAAGTCTTATAACTTGTTTGAGTTACGTAATTTATGTTTTCAATTTATTAAAAACTAGCTATTCCCGTGCGGCTTCATCCACATGTAATTATGAAAATTTTATTTTATTGTTTACAATTGTCAAATTATCAATAGCAAATGTCAAAATGACATGACATGACAAACCTTAGCAATCTTTCTTTCTTCATGTTGGCAGCAACTTATGGTCTCTTTCCCACATTAGGGCTATTATCCAAAATATTTACCCCCTAAGTTAAATGGCATGAAAATATATAGCCTAAAGCATGACGTAAGTGTAGGGCTTGTTATTAAAAAAAGAATTAATCAAAATTTATTCTGTAATTACTGACATCTTAGGCTACAAGTAGTGTGTATTTACGCTTTATTATATTAGTATAGAAAAAAACCTCAACGTAATTATTTATTAAAATTTACTATCTTACCTTACTAATATTTTAAATGAGATTGATGTATGTTTAGAAGATATCTCCAGAACGACTTATCGTATCTCGTTGATTGGACAAGATGTATAAAAATTCTGAAACTACAAATAGATTATTAATTAAGCCATTTTTATTCCGTGCGGAAGAAAATTTGGGGCAAAAGATAGTTTTAAAATAAAATTACAATCATAGATTAAGTCTTCAGGATCCAGAACATCAACTTAAAATATCGACATCTCAGATGAAAATATGAAATACCGTAATGGCCGCCATGTATGGAATTTGACGTTTCTATATTAACATGATTTAGGGGTTTATTTGAAATGAGATAGACAATTATTAAATAACGGTTACTTATTATTAATTTTTACCTTTCCAGGGCATTGTTCAGTTTACGAAGAAAAGAAATCAAAGAAAGCTCCACGGCCACAACAAACAAGACAAAGGAAAACGAAGTTACACGATTTTAATATAATTATTGTTTTATTTAAATATTGTATATTGTGGAAAGTATCTAATTTTTGTAATAAGTTGACTATGGATAGGAGAATAGTTCAACTTAACTGCAAATGGTAAACGTACAAATAAATAATTGAGATTGCGTAGACGAGTACGACGAAATCATGTTCAGGGGATAGTTTCCCCCTAATTTTATAATTTATTTAAATTTATTATGTGATAAATATTAAGAGAAATTAGTAACTGTTAACATAAATTATTTCCTTCATCACCTTATTTGGTGCTAAAGTAAATCCTATTTGTTATATTTTAAAATTGTACCTTAGCGCTGAGTGCGAAGGAGTCAAGATAAGGGCAATGACTCATTGTAACAATAAATTATAAGAACAGGAATGCAAATTAGTGGTTTCTTCCTACATTCGCACGAAGAACATTTACATAAAAATGTATTATGGATGTTATTTCTGCTCATTTTTAAACATATTTCCAATTTTTTATTAAGTAGATTAACGTTTTTTGTGTCACGTCCAAACACTGAAACGTAATTTAAACTTACCGCGAATTCCTTTCAGATTTTGTCGACTATCAAATTGTAACAGCGCTTCCGAAGCAATTTGTACTCGTTTCAGTATTTGGCCGTAAATGTTCCAGATAGTATGAACGTAAGGTTAGTGCTGTTAAAGAGGTTTAGAATATTTGCGTGTATGTTGTACTAGAAAATATGTTCTATTGTATAGGTAATAAGTGTTATTATTCTTATGTGTGTGTGAATAAAGATCCACCGGGTCATCAAGAAATTTACGATTATTGCAAATTTTCAAAGAGTTTAAGGTGGTTGTGATTTTAGATAACAGTAAAGAGATAGATGAAATTGTTTTAATTGATTTTCGAACTATATTTTAAGACGATGTTACTCAAAATTAACTCTTATTTGTTTTTAGTAGTTGATTTTACTGTTATTATTTAGGCCAATTAATTGTAAAAAATTGTAAAATAATAAACTATTTAAAAAAAATCGTCTAGTTTCATTTACATTTGCTATTTATTCCTGACACAACCGAAAAATATATCGAAAATCTATGCTATTATAATAAACACACTTCTTTGTTGCCTAAGATGTCAGCAATTACAGCATATTTTTGAATAATTCTTTATTTTAATAAAAAGCCCTACACTTACGTCACGCTTTAGGCTAAATATTTTCACGTTGTTAAACTTAGGGAAAATATTTTGGATAAAAACCCTAATGCGGGAAAGAGGCCATAAGTTGCTGCCAACATCAAGGAATTAAGGTTGCCATGATTTAATGTCATGTCATGTCATTTTGACATTTGCAATTGATAATTTGACAAATGTAAACAATAAAATGATTTTTTTATAACTTTATGCGAATGAAGTCGCATGGGAACAGCTAGTACACGAATAAAGATATTACTTCCCTTTTTATATTGTTTGTTATTTAATAAGTCCAATGACCCCGTGGATAACCTATAGGTTACTAGTTGACTGACCGTCTACAAAAGTTCATTTAAATTTATAATAACTAGCTGTTGCTCGCGACATCGTCCGCGTGAATTAAAAAATACAACCTATATTACTTAAAGATAAATTACCTTTCTAACGGTGAAAGAATTTTTAAAATCGACCCAGTAGTTTTTGAGTTATTTTATTACATACAAAAATAAAAATAAACAGTCTCTCCTCTTTATTATATTAGAATAGAATAGAATAGAAGTAAAGAATAGATAACCTACTCTATCTTATGTTAAAATCAAGAATTTAGCTAGATATCTTCCTAGATAGGAATATACCTCTATTATATTCGCTTATGACTACAAAAGTAAAGGAAGTCTGAAGAAAGTATGGATGGTGTAAAAGAGGCTATGCATAAGAGTGAATTCAGATATGACTCTTGTTTCATACATAATATACATAATACATAAATTGGCAAAGGATCTGGAAGATTTAGTTTATTTTTTCAAACAGTCACGTATATGATTTACACGCGACTTTAACAAAGCTGTTATGACCAGTGAGAGAATGATAACCTTATAACCAGTGATACTATAACTTACATAGTATGTAAACCTTTAACGTTAATAGATTAAAAAAACAACGGAAATGGACACACGTTGGTAATTAGGACTATTCTAAATTTAAAAACATCAATTACATTTTTGAATTTAGAGTATTAAAAAAAAATCGCCTCTTATTTTTAAAAAATCGTGCTTATCTGAGTAAGCCTTGGCTATTAGATTTCTCGTTTTATTCAAAATCAAATTCATTTTTTTTAAAACAAAAAAAAATAGTAGGTAACACTGCAAAAATCATTTAATTATGTACAGTAAATTACAAAATCTAAAATTTCAATTTGAAATTATTTAATTTCGGTTTCGTGATAGGTTTTTCTTCCGGCGTTTCATTGTTTATGAGCATTCGTATGTATCTGCCTTGTTGGTCTGACGGTAATTTAATACCGAGTACTTCACAATTACGGACAATCTCTCTGCAACCTCGGAGATCGCGGTTCCTTACTGCAAATTAAGAAACAATGTAAATGAATACCGAAACAATTGTTATTCGACTTCGTCTGCGTGAATTTAAAAAACAATAAACATAACCTATGTAACACTGAGAACAGCTTTTTATTATTGCATTTTTTAAATCGGTCCAGTATTTTTTGAGTTATTTTAATAAATACAAAAATCCAAATATTCAAATCTTTCCTCTAATTATATATGTATAGAATTTGATTATACTACTACACATTATTAAAAAAAATATAGATTTAGCAATCTTTTTTATTTTTTAGTATTAATCGATTTTACAATAGATGGCGCTAACAACTAATAGATAGCAATAAAATTATATTCATCGCAGTATGTTTCCACTGTGTCATCTATACAATAAAGACATCCTTTTCACTACCTTAAAAAAAAAACAATGGTATAACAAAATTAAAGATCTCAGTATTTACATTACAGGGAACTGTAAAACAATTCTTTACTTACATTTGTAGTTAAAAAGCAGCTGTAGAACTTTAGTGTACTCCTCCATCATTTTATATTTGAGTAAAGACTGCATTAAACTCACAACAGCATCTTCATTGTAATCCCTTAAAATATTAACACAAAATACTGTTGCCCTGAAATATACAATGCAAACATAAGAACAAAAGAATGTTTCTATATAAAAAAATACAGTTTTATTTCTTCATTAATTCTTATAATACAAAGACATAAAAGCGTCGGTTGCTCAGTGGTTTAAGCGCTTGACTTGTAATCTACAGGTCTTGGGTTCGAATCCTGATATGTACCAATGTGATTTTATCGAATTTTCATATGTACATAATTTTCCCGACGTTCTTATGGCGATGGGAAACATCGTGATGCAACCTGCACTTACAGCGCAGAAATTCAAAGATATGTGTGAAGTCAACCAACCCGCAGTGTGCCAGCATAGTTGACTATGGCCTAGTCACCCTTATTTAATAATAATAATAATTTAGGGATGTTTAGTGAGCTGGTGATGATGATTAACAAAACTCAATAAGCACATTATTAAATAGTACTTTGTATAACCAATAACTTTAGTAAATAGTTTTCATATTCTAAAAAAATTACAGTCAGCTGCAAAAATGTGTATACAAATATATATTTGGATTTAACCATCAATACATGCGATTGGCAAATATGTGCATCAATAATTTTAAAATAAAAAGTCTATACAACCTTATGAAGTGTTCTCAATTTTTACTAGTATTGACCCCTATAAAACAACGATGCAAATAGCATCCGTTTTTTAATTCATTTTGTAAACAAAAAAGTGGTTATTGTAAGAAAACCGTTAAAGATATATGCTATCGCGACATTTCTGTAGAACGTTTTGAGATCTACATTACTTTCATACATCATTTTTATATACCTCTAACGGTTTAGGCAGCATAAGCCGAGAAAAGTTAAAGTTAAGTAATTTTTTGCCGCCAGCGTCCAGAAACACGCTGTTTATTAATAGTTCCCAAACATTAGTAATAATAAAATATAGCCTATGTTACTCACAGATAAATTACCTTTCTGATGGTGAAAGAATGTTTAAAATCAGTCCAGTGGTTTTTGAGTTATTTCAATACATACAAAAAACCAAAAATACAAAGTTTTCCTCTTTATAATTTATACTAGTATTATAAAGAGAAAAGTATTGTATTTTTGTATGTGAATCACATAAATATGACTGAACCGATTACAAAAATTCTTTCACCTTTAGAAAGGTAATTTATCTGTGAGTAACATAGGCTATCTTTTTAAATATCTTTTACTTTGAGGAGGACGAAGTTGCAAGCAACATGTAGTGTATAAATGATTATGTAGCTCAGTGTACTAATGTTAAGAAAAAACTAAGCAACACTTACTTGTCTCTAATTATATTTTGTAACTTTTCAGAAGTCTCCAACAGTTCATTTGACAACATTTGATCAGAAAACCAATTACTGGACCAGCACATATGCCAGAAACATACTAGTGGATAATCTTCATTCCATTTATTACTAAATTCTAATACATACTTCTTAAAAATAACCAAAGAGGCCTCTGACCTGTTTAAAATTGTGTCTTGGATTAACTCTCTGAATATAATTCTATAAAAACCTCTTAAACCTTCATATTTCTTGTAACAATTTGATAATATTGTAAGACCTTTGTCTGAATTACCTTTGAAACAATGTGCTTTGGCTAAATAGTGTAAAAATTCCCCATTTCGCTTATAAAGCTCATAATCAACGGTATAACAATATAATTGAAGAATCGCGATAATTTCAGGCTTTCCAGCAATACTGTAAGTTCGGAATAACCTCTTTATTGTGCTTTCAGTAATAAATTTTCTATTTTTACTACACATTTTTACTAAATCAACAACTTGTTTGTCCTTACTCTTCGATACCAGGTCTAGTAAATTGTTATCGATCTCTTCGTTTGTCATTTCTGAATACTTCGTTGTACTATTGTCGTTTACACTGAAGTAATTCAATTGATTTTCTTTCCCGGCAAATAAATTACTTATACTACATATCTCAGACTTTTGTTTATCTTGTTTTAATAATGCACTTGTAAATATATCCATAACATCCACAGTTGAAGAAAAATTGTGCCGTATTATTGTAAAACATCGTAATTTACTTTGTAGAATGCAAGATCGATAGAATTTTAAAGTTGTTTGTATTTTGTTGACCTGCATTTTGTATATGCTACAATTTCCAGATTTATTCAAATTAGTCTTAATAAATTATAAACACTACATTATTTAATTAGAAACATTAAATATATAAACGAAATAAGTAGCATAACTATAAAAACAAATTATGACACCACACCATCTGATAATGACAATTCTGACAGTGACAGTGACAGTTTGTTAGACTTGTAACTTTTTTTACGCATAAAAATTAATACTTACGACAAATGTAATTTTTGACTGTTAAGTCGTAAAAATGTATCAAGCTATTTATTTTATTTTCCACAATAAACATTTCAGAAACAGTGAATTTTTAGTTTTCTGACCATTAACTACGAATGTATAGTATTTCTTGACCAACCGCCATCTGTCTTAAAATAAATACACTAATGCACTGCTTTAATAACTTTAAGATTTTGCTATTGCCCAATAGATGTCACTGTACTATTTATGTTCGTTTTATTTTCATGATTTTACTAACAAGTTCAATTACAATAACCGATAACTTAAGCGTTCACTGTCAAAATAAAATATATTTTTGAATATTGTTTTAACTCATGGTTACATTATCATCTAAATATTGTGAAATCCGACTGTAAATAAAAAAAGATGTAATTTTAGTATTATCTCCTTTCTAGACCTTTTTAATATAAATAATTGTTCGGTGTCAAGTATAATGTGAGAAATTTAAAAAATGTCACATAAAAATGGTGTAACTATTCTAAATTCTAAAACAAAAATGTGCCAGTCAAGTATATTTTTGTTTCCCAACGTATTATTATTCAACGTGGAACGGATTACCTATTTTATCTGGATATATCCTGTGACTCTTAAGGTTTTTTTTTTTCAATTTTTTAAAAAGTAATCGCCGACAACGATCGGTTGTCGATTAAAGTGGTGCTATTAGTCGTTAATGTCAAGTTAACAGCGGGGGGTGACCGTGGTACAAAGTTAGTCCGACAAAATCACCTGGCCTGATAAAAGAGACGCTGTTATCATGGTTTGTTCTGTTAGAAACCATGTAAGAAATATGTACGATGTATTGAATAACATTAAAGAGGAGAAACAAGAAAGCTACTGTACAAGGATTTTCTAGCATTTTTTAATATCTACAGCTATGATAATGAGTTATTGTTATTTTACACACCGGGTCAGTTAAGTTTGTCGATCTATATAAACTTACAAGCGCACGCGCGTCGACGGCTCGGCTGCCAAAAGCTTCGAATGAAAAAAAATAACACTGTGAACGTTACGGTCGCGTTCAATTGTTTTATTGACATTGATTTCAATTTGAGGTTATGTATAATTTTGGCAAATTGATTACGACGAAATCGTAATTGTTAAATAATTTTATGAGGGGTTCCTATTGTAACAGAAGCGAAACGTTTTGTATCTTATTATTGTGATTATCTATTTCTCATTTGTCTTAAAAATTATAGACCTCACTACAATGTAGTTGAGATAGTTGGGATTATAAGCCTACTGTTTGGTGTCTTTTTAAATATGTAAAAGCCAAAAGCTGAATTAAAAAAAAAACCGTATTAAAACCAAAACCTTTACTATTTATAACACTCTTAGGGCCTGTCCCACCACTGGCTGATAGAGGGTCAGATAGCTTAAAAATGACGTCACTGTCCGATAAGGGAAAAAAATCCGAGATTTTCATCACTTATTTTACACGTTGGATTGTTATCAGACAATTTACAATTTGGTGGGACCGGCCCTTGGTGATTGGTGTACTTGGTACAGTAAACTATGAGTTTTAAAGCGATTAATCTTACATTAAATATGGTCATTAATTTATTAAATGATCACACAGAGCCGCCCTCTTGAACATTATCACCATAAATTAACTTGTAATTAAGTTTGCCCTGGGAATATCTTTGTACCTATAAATATTCGTGTACAATTGTTAAGCACAATTGCCTCGTTAAAATTAATATTTAAGCAATATAATCTTGCTTGCAAATTAGCAATTTACTATGTTTAAAAAAATCTAATTTTAAAGGTTAGATTTGTCTCTAGTTTTTTTTTTAATTTAAATGAAAAGATGTTACTAAAAAGCGTCACCTCTTTAAAAATGTATAACCTCAAATTGAATCATTTTTCGAATACTAACTATTTCGTAATAAAACACATCAATCATTTCTATTATTAAGTCGCTTTCCTTATAACGTTCCGGCAGACACTTAGTAGCATATAAGGAATATTCAATTAACGTTGTAATTAGTCAAATTAAAAAAGGATTATAACGTTCTCAGCGTCACTAATACAACATTAGCGGTTAAAGTAACCAGATTATTCTGACACCTACCTCTTTCCATACTTGTGTAATCTTAGCAAGGACTTTAATGTCTAATTAAAATGGCTGCGGCTAGTTAGAATTAAATGGGCCCGCAGTCATTCGGTGAGCTGCACTCTTTAATCGAATGAGTTATGCTTCGTTCGTTCTCGAATGCAGTTATCATTGTTGACAATAATTTTCTAGACAGCTTTATTAATGAAAATGTTGCCCTTTTGTATCAGCTTTTAAATAGAAATATTATAGTATAAGTATGCGTTACGAATTCGACTATATTTATTCAAGTGTTTTATACTACATTGTAACATACCTTAGGTTACACTAAATAGTAATTATCATTTTAAATTACACAGAACTGCAAGTTTTTTTTTCTTATTTTTATTGGGCGGCACTGTGCCGCCCTCTCGGTCCCCCTTACATATTTGTGGGAAAGGTACGTTGGGTGCGTGAGGAACTTTTATTTCTTTATTTAAAAGTTTTTTCACGTAACGTTACAAATTCCTTAATACTAGCTTACTATTACAATTAAAGTAATATCACAGAACTGAATGTTAAATTGTTAGCTAAAGAATTGTGCTATAACCTAGAATGCGTAACACAAAACCACAAAACCGCAACCAGGATATATTTATAGTGTTAGAAAAGACTTTTTTCCTATCAGAATTTGAGATAGAAAATTTTGCATTAACCGATATATAAAAGTATCAAAATACCATTCTATTTAATATATTACTCTATTATTCACGTTATCACCATAATAGGTGGCCATTAAAACAATTCAAACAGCCAGCTCCTTATTCTGACGCCTCTATAGAATTGAATATGAAACATTTTTAGAGCGTTTAAATGTTGAAATTGTCACAACTAGATAGCACAATATATTCACAAAGGAGCGTCGATTACGATACAATCTGAATAGGTGAATTCTATGATCTTTAAGAGACAGGACCTGTTGCACATTCGCCTCTGTGTTAACTAAACATGGTTGTTTATGTGCTCATTTTGTGTGTGTTAATATACTAATTTTTTGAAACAGTTGCTTTCATAAGGACGTTTCAATTACGTGAGGCGAAAATAGAGAGATTTTTATGTTCGAGGGCGCGGTGCGGTTTTTGCTTAGTCCGTTTCTCAATAGCCAAAGGTTGAATTGTATAGATTATCGATGCACACTACGTTATGTTACCCTCATTGTGCTGTCCTCACCCCGGCAACGAGACGGTGAACTGGACGTATTTAAAAATAAGAATAGCCGCTATTTCACGCCTGTCTTGTAATGACATTATCCTATCTATCCTTTTATTCCTGATTGTTATCTATTGTTGGATAGATATGAGAATAATTCTTTTGTATTTGATATCTATGTAATTCCGCCGAGCGTAAAAATATGATCTTAAACCTCTCCGACTAGCGAAGGATGGCGGGCAGTTCTCCAAATTTGGATATCGTTGTACAATACTTTAAATGTATTACTTTACAAAGTATATGGGCACTGCATAAATAAATAATGAAAATATCCAGTTAGCAATATCAAAGAGAAGAAAAGAACCGTTTAATAATTATTTAACTGTTTCTTCTAAGTTATTGCATCGATTTTGATATGTTTACACTAGAAGTCCTATAAAAATGGTAGTAAATACTTGGAATTTCTGATATTAAGGGCCTGTCCCACCAAATTGTAAATTTTTTGATTACAATCGAACCTGTAAAATATGTGTTGGAAATAACAGATTTTGTTTCCTTATCTGATAGTGAGTTTTAAGCTATCTGAGCCTCTATCAGCCAGTTGTGGGACAGGCCCGTATTCTTTACATAGATGCACATTAGATAATAAATTACTGTTATTATTTTCCATTTATCGATTGAGGAGTTCACGTTTTAAACTGCAACGTGATTAGAGATGAATGTTAAACGCCAGAGGGCGCAAGTCGTCACGATTTTTGGTCTCAGTTACTGTTGCGGTGTCGTGAAGCAAGATATTTCGCTATCGACCTAACCATCTGTTGCAGTCGAAACAAATCTGTTATGAATTGTATTTATTAATTTTGTGTACATTCGCGTCGACTATTTGAACTGTCTCTGTGGCTATGGTTTTGATTAAATATACGGGTATCAGTGCAAAAAAGTAATCCATTATATCAAGAAGCTCTCTTATGGAATTTATAGGCGGGCAACTGGGTCGCCAAGTCTGCAAAAGGAAATTGCAGAAACATGGCCTCATATGACAATAAAATTAAAATAAGATATTCTCCTTCTAACTGTTCGACTCCAATCTAATATCCACTTTCCTCTATCATCGTTAACTTATTAGAAATTAAAGTACTATATATTATTTGTCTTTGAATTTCAAATTAGTTACATACTGGATGGTTGGAATTCCTCAAACATTTTATATCCCTTGCAGCCGCGTTGTGGAACTACTACTATGTTACAGATGTCCATAGGCGTTGGGCCCGTCGATGTTTGGCCCCATCTCTTATAAAAAAAAACCAGTATGTACTTAACTTTCTCCTTATATCTTACAACTGAGATATAGAGACAGCATCAAAGTTAAATATGACAAAGTGTGTAAATAATATTTATGTAAGCCATTATTAACAGTTTCCGGTAAAGCTGTTACTTTTGTATACAAATTGAATAGTGTAAAAATGTGTAATGGAAGTAACCGATGACGTATTGAATGACTTATGGCTTTAGAAATGAACGAATGAATGGAAAAATTTCTCAGTAATCGGTAATATTTCATCTTTTATTTATAGCAGGTAAAATGTGAAGGAACAATTGGATTTCTTAAAGAAGTATT